GCAGAAGGCCGTCCTCCCTGTGTCCCCACATGGTCTCCCCCTGAGTGTGTCTGTGTCTGGTCTCCTTCGAAGGTCACTGATCAGGCACCAGCTGGTGTGCCCCCGTGGATAGAGCGTCGGCCTGCGGACTGAAGGGTCCCGGGTTTGATTCCGGTCAAGGGCATGGTCCTTGGTTGCGGGTACATCCCCAGTAGGAGGTGTACAGGAGGCAGCTGATCAATGTTTCTCTCTCATCCATGTTTCTAACTCTCTATCCCTCTCCCTTACTCTCCGTAAATAAAAAATAAATAAATAATAAATTAAAAAATTAAAAAAATAAAGAAAATGGAGCAGAAAAGAACAAGTACTAGTAAAGGCTAGTTTTCTACATGGGCCTCGAGGGACCATGTCCTCAAAGCAACAAACTCAAGTTTATTTTTTTATTCTTTTTAAAGTATATTTTTGTTGACTTCAGAGAGGAAGGGAGAGGAAAAGAGAGAGAGAAACATCCATGATGAGAGAGAATCAATGATCGGCTGTTGCCTGCTCACCCCTCACTAGGGATCGAGCCTGCAACCCGGGCCTGTGCCATGACCTCCTGGTTCCTAGGTGGATGCCCAACCACTGAGCCACGCCAGCTGGGTGAAATGCCTTTCATCTGACGAACGTGGTCTTCAGGTTTTCTGTGCCCAAAAAGCCACCCTGAGCCTTCGCCTAATGCCAAGGAGGCGGGATTTAGTCAAATAACGGTAACATGACGCCAATGGGGGAGCAGAAATCCGATGCTCCCTTCAGATTATCTTCTGCCCGAAACCTCTCCATCTTGTGCACGGACACCACCAGTGGCCACCAGCACCTCCATCTGCTCCAACACCTGCCTGCAGGCCTGAGCAGGGCTTCCTGGACTGGCCTCCATCACAGACCCGGCACGGTTCCTCCATCAGAGGCCCAGTGTTGGCCAGCATCGTTGTTGCTATGGCGACAGTCACCCATGCATACATTGAGCAGGTGTACAGTACTAGCCTGGCCTACCAGTACTGGCTTACAAAGTTTTCTAGGTGTTTTATTTTTTTGTTTGTTTGTTTTGTTTTTTTGTTCTTTAAAAAATATATATTTTTAAAGATCACACTTTTTATTTATTTTTTTTAATATATTTTATTGATTTTTTTACAGAGAGGAAGGGAGAGGGATAGAGTTAGAAACATTGTTGAGAGAGAAACATCCATCAGCTGCCTCCTGCACACCCCCTACTGAGGATGTGCCCGCCACCACGGTACATGCCCTTGACCGGAATCGAACCTGGAACCCTTGAGTCCGCAGACCGATGCTCTATCCACTGAGCCACACCGGTCCCCAAAACATTTCCTCCTCTCCCCTTACCCCCCCCACCCTAGGACTTTTTAAATCAGGAGCCAAAATGCAACCACATCATTTCCCTAGCAACCACGGCAAAGCGATTCCCTCTGGTTGGGGAGGTTAAAAATAACACTGCACATGCTACTGCGGCCAGCCAGAACCTTCTGGAACATCTCTTTGGTTACTGCAGATGCCTAACTCCCTAAGTCTCACCTGTGATCAAGGTAACCTTTCTAAGGCACCGGGGAGACTTGCCTGCTTAGAGTGGTTCAGGCTTCCTCTGACTACAGAGGGGAAATCATAGCCAGCTTCCTGCCCCTCCCCGCACCATACGGCGTGCTAACAGGGGTGAGAACACCTTTGGTGGTAGGAAAGACATCAGTGGTGCTTCTATGGGGAAAATCTCATGTTCATGTCAGTGGCCAACAGCCACTGGCATTGAAATCAGCTAAATTGCCCTGGCCAGTTTGGCTCAGTGGATAGAGCATCAGCCTGTGGACTGAAGGGTCCTGGGTTCGATTCCGGTCAAGGGCATGCACCTTGGTTGCGGGCACATCCCCAGTAGGGGGTATGCTGGAGAGCTGATCGATGTTTCTGACTTTCCCTCTTCCTCCTCTCTGTAAAAAATATCAATAAAATATATTTTATAAAGGAAACTGCCCAACCGATGTGGCTCAGTAGTTGCACATTGAATGGAACCAGGAGATTGCGGTTCCATTCCCGGTCAGGGCACAGGCCTGGGTTGCAGGCTGGATCCCCAGTGTGGGGCGTGCAGGAGGCAGCCGATCAATCATTGATGTTTCCATCTCTCTCTCCCTTCCTCTCTGAAATCAATAAAAACATATTTTTGGAAATGTTTCATTCTTCATGTCAAGCAATTTGCAGGCATCTCTTTTGACCCTATGACTCCATAAGGTAAGGACTCTGCCCATTACCTTCCTTTGCAAACGAGAAAATGGAGACGGAGAGCAGGTCATCCTTGGCCAAGGGCGCTCGGTAAGTGATGGATCCAGGGTTTGGGGCCAGACTGCCTGACTCCAGAGGCCAAAGCTCACTCACAATTGCTTACAGCCCCGTTTCTTTTTCTTTTTTTCTTTCTTTTTGCATCCACAGGCAAGCATGACTCACGGCTAACTGCGAGGTCTTATGATTCACGGAAACTCTTTTTTGTTGAAATCACCAACCCGTCTCCCCTTTGAAAACTCCAAGGAGCTGAAAATGTTCATTCTCTGTCGTGCGATGGAAAAGAAAGGACGATTCTCCATCTTGATGGCTTTGCTCCCACGAATTCAAGGTCTGGGCTTTCTTTTCTGCCCCGCCGCTGCCCCCTCCCTCCTCAACCCCCCCCCCCAGTCCCGCCCCACCGCAATGTCCCGAGCAACGCCTCTGTTCATTGGAAATGGAAACACTCAGTCCCAAGGACCACAAGTGCTCTTGACCTTGGTACAAAGCAAAACTGGGTCACACTGAATGGATTTAGAGGGCGGCAGGGTTCAAGGTCGCTGCTGAGGTCTGTTCCCTGAACTTGAGCAGTGAGTGACAGGAGCTGGTCATTGACGAGGGCCTTTCACAACTGTCACCTTGGTTCTCAAAAGTGAAGGCTGGGAATCATGTCAGCGCCAGAAGCTACGCCAGTGTGGAATATAATGAACAACCTAAACTGATGAACAAAATAGATCCAGAGACACAGAAGCATCGAATAGACCGTCAAACCTCAGAGAGAAAGCAGGGGAAGGCAGAGTCAAGGACACATGCCCAGGTTGCAGGCTCCATCATAGAAGTTAACAATGCACAATCAGCTGAAACCGGTTTGGCTCAGTGGATAGAGCATCAGCCTGTGGATAGAGCGTCAGTCCCGGGTTCGATTCCAGTCAAGGGCATATACCTTGGTTGCGGGCACATCCCCAGTAGGGGGTGTGCAGGAGGCAGCTGATGAATGTTTCTCTCTATCGATGTTTCTAGCTCTCTGTCTCTCTCTCCCTTCCTCTCTGTAAAAACAAAAACAAAAAAACAATAAAATGTATATAAAAAACACACACAACACAGTGCACAATCACACAGGCAGATGGAAAGTTTGGGGTTTTGTTTTCTCCCTTTTCCTTTCCTCCCTCTGCAACGAGAAGCCGCCACCTGCCTCTGGGAATATTTTTGGCTGGAATATTTTTGCTCTTCTTGGTGGAAAACATTTGCTTAAACAAAGCAACTGGATTCTGAGCGGAACTAACCATCTCATTTATACGTGACACGCTTTGGGGTAACCATTGGATATCCCAGTCTGTTCCTTTTGGGACCATATAATCCTCTTCTCGATGTTGCCTGCCCCGTGTGGCTACAAGCACCTGAGAGCCCAGGAACCACAAAGGCCCACATTTTCGCAGGATTAACACGATACAAGTGCACACTACGGACAGAGAAAGATTGTGTCCGTTCTTGTAACTGCTATGGCTCCGTTTGGTGCTTTCTAGGAGAAGCAAAACAATTCCTTGTTTTCAAAACACCCCTTCAGCCGAAACCGGTTTGGCTCAGTGGATGGAGCGTCAGCCTCTGGACTGAAGGTTCTCAGGTTTGATTTTGGTTGGGGGGCACATCCCCAGTATGTGCAGGAGGCAGCTGATCGACGTTTCTCTCTAATTGATGCTTCTAAAAACTCTATCCCTCTCCTTTCCTCTCTGTTAAAAAAAAAAAAAAAAGAATCAATAAAATATATATTTTTTAATATTTTGAGTTTACAAGATGTCAAAGTGTCAAACGCGATGAGGAATGACGATCTACCTAACTCCAGATGCCGCCCCCCTCCAATGACAAGGGGTAATGAACCGCGACTCAGTTCAACCCCAGGACCCCAGAAACGGACCTGCGAGGCGGGGTCCTCATTAGAGCAAGAACCCAGGAAGCCAGACAGCCCTGTGTTTGGAGGAGCAGGCGGCGCAGCCGGCCGCCATCCCCCCCTCTCCCCCTCGGGGAGGCAGCCGCCGCCGCCGCCGCCTGCCAGCAGCGTTCCCGCAGCGCCTGGTGGAGAACCACCGGGGAGGACAGCTCCCCGGCGTGGCGCGCACTGCGGAGGGGCCCCTGATCGCGGCGGGTTGGACAAGGAAGAACCCGCTGGGACCCCCCGCACCCACCCTGCGGGCAGGTCGGGGCAGGCGGGTTGCCGTCCCGGGGGGAGGTGGACAGGTCCCTGCAGGACAGCGGACCCGCCACGCCGCTGCGGCCCTGCCCCTCCCGCTGGCACCGCCCCGCCCGGGAGAGAAGGGTGGAGCGTCCCCGGCGCAGGCCCCGCCCACAGCGCCCAGCGTTGGCTCCCTATTGGCCGGAGGACTGACAGGGCGAGGGGGCGGGGCGCTCTGGAGGGCGGGGCCTCCTCTGACAGCTCGAGCCCAGGAGAGGAGGTTGGAGCACCCCCAGCGCAGGCCCCGCCCACCGCACCCAGCACTGGCTCCCCATTGGCCGGAGGGCTGACAGGGCCAGGGAACGGGCGTTTTGGAGGGCGGGGCCTCCTCTGACAGCTCGAGCCCAGGAGAGGAGGTTGGAGCATCCCCGTCGCAGGCCCCGCCCACCGCGCCCAGCGCTGGCTCCCCATTGGCCGGAGGGCTGGAAGGGCGACGGGGCGGGGCGTGCGAGGGGGCGGGACCGTCGCTGGCGGCTCGCGCCCGGGAAGGTCGGCCGGCGAGCGCTAGGTGTGGAGACGTCGCGGTCGGTGCCTGAGGACGCAGCGGCGGCCCCGGGTCCAGCCGCCGCCCTCGTCTCCCGCCGCGGCCCGCAGCCGGCGGCGCCCCAGCTGCGAGTGCGCTTCCCCGGGGCGCGGGGGTCCCAGGCGGCCAAGACGGCGGGCCGGCCGGGCGCGGAGCGGCGGGCGCTGTGCTGCCGGCTGCGCTGGTGGGGGGCGGCGGGCCCGGGCCCCGGCGCGTGCGGCCGGGAGGCGCTGCGCGGGGCGGGCGCGCGGGCGGCGGCGGCGGCGGCGGCCGGGGCGATGGCCGAGGGCGGCGGGGGCGCGCGGCGCCGGGCGCCGGCGCTGCTCGAGGCGGCCCGCGCGCGCTACGAGAGCCTGCACATCTCGGACGACGTGTTCGGCGAGTCGGGCCCCGACAGCGGCGGCAACCCCTTCTACAGCACCTCCGCCGCCTCGCGCTCCTCCTCGGCCGCCTCCTCGGACGACGAGCACGAGCGGCCGCCGGGGCCCCCGCCCTGCGTCCCCGCCGCCCCATCCGCGCCGGAGCCGGAGGAGGACGAGGCCGGCTCAGGCTGGAGCGCGGCGCTGCGGGACCGGCCGCCCCCGCGCTTCGAGGACACGGGCGGTAAGACGCGGTCCTTTGGGGGGAGGGTTCCGGGGGGGGGGTGCCAGGGAACCCCAGCCAGGGAACCCCCGCCCAGGGACGCGTGAGTGCGGGGCGGGGATTCCAGATGCTCCTGGGGCGGCGGGTCCCTGGCATCTGTGCGGGGCGGGGCGGGAGCGGGTCAAGTGCAAGAACCCACCGGACTGCGTGGGAGGGGGTGCGACTTCCTCGTGGGGCGGGGGGAGGGAGAGGATGGAGCGAGGTGGGGCCAGCCCTTGGCAATGGCAAGGACGTGGGGGGATCGGGCACTTGTTCTAGTTGTGTCCTGGCGACCCAGCCCCACTCGCGGGCTTGTACCGTAAGCCTGGGTGACAGGTGGGCTTGCCTGGCTGAGGGGACTGTGAGACCCGGACGTGGCTTGGAGAGGGCTCTGGGCCAGCAGGACCCAGGTGCCAGGGGCCCTGGGCCAGGCGAGGGGGCGTCCATCCGACCACGGTATCTTCTTCATGGTCCGAGTGTTCTGCCTGGGAAACTTGGGCCGTCCGTGCTGCTTGGGATCGCTGGTGAACCACACGCGACAGCGAAAGGACCGGCTTGGCTGCGGTAAGGTGTGGGTCTCACAGCAGGAGGCGCTCCTCGGCCTGGTTCTGCTCTGCTCCTGGCCACAGATGGTGCTGACCCCAGAGACGCTTGCTGGAGTGCTGGCAGAGGTGGCTGCTGCTGCTGCTTCTTTAAAAAAAAAAAGCATATATTTATCTCAGAGAGGAAGGGAGAGAGAGGGAGAGAGAAACATCAACGATGAGAGAGAATCACTGATCGCCCCCCACGGGATGGAGCCTGCAACCCCGGCAGGTGCCCTGACCGGGAACCGAACCCCGACCTCCTGGGTCATAGGTCAGCGCTCAACCACTGAGCCACGCCGGCCAGGCCAGATGTGGCTTTTTGAGGGCCTTCCCACTGCCTGCCTTTGAGGGAGGTTTGTTTTTAAATGTCACTCGGCCGCCCCTGCTCCCTGACAGGTGGACAGAGTGGACACCAGCCCTTTCCCCGGCTGTGTTCATGGGTGGGAGTGTGTGTGCGGTCCGTGCTGGTGAAGGCCAGGGAGTGGCCGCCCTGAGCGGGGTGAGGGTGATGGTGGTGGTGGTGGTGGTGGTGTTGATGGTGACATGGCTGCTCACCCAGACTGGAATCAGCACCCGTGCGGCAGCTGTGAGGGGCTGAGTCTGGGGCCTCCGTCCTTGGATCTGCACCCCGTGCTGCAGCCTGCTGCTCGGCCGGCGGGCCTGGCGGGCTCCCAGCAGGGAGTGGTCTGCAAACAGGCAGGCAGGCTGCAGTGGGGATGTGCTGAGCTGCAGCCGGCTTACAAACTCCACCTCGGCGGCACTGCTTGGGATGGGAGGGTTAAAAGCGTGTTCTCCGTCGGGATTTAGGGGAGTTTTGGAATTTTCAAAGTCACATCGCTCTGTGTACTCCTTTTATTTTTATTCTTTAAAATGTTTTTTATTGATTTCAGAGGAGAAGGGAGAAGGAGAGAGATAGAAACATCGCCGAGGGGAGAGAACCACTGATGGGCTGCCTCCTGCACGCCCCACACTGGGGTTGGAGCCTGCAACTGGGGCCGTGCCCTCACAGGGGAATCCAATCGTGACCTCCTGGCTCACAGGTTGATGCTCAGCCACGGAGCCATGCTGGCTGGGTTGTCTGCTTCTTTTCTGCCCCCTGCGTCTTCTGGTTTGTTGTTAGTCTGCCAGCCCTCGTTTGGCAGGCTGTATTCGAGGAGCGTCTGATCTGGCTTGTGATCTTGGAACACTTGAAACCCATGCCCACCTGGGAGAGAGGACACAGTGACTCTCCCTACATCTCAGGGAAAGAGTGGAATTGGGGCCTGGCCGGCGGGACTCAGTGAGTGAGCGTCGACCTAGGAACCAGGAGGTCAGGGTTCGATTCCCGGTCAGGGCACAGGCCCGGGCTGCAGGCTCCATCCCCAGTGTAGGGCGTGCAGGAGGCAGCCAACCCTTGATTCTCTCTCATCATGTATATTTCTAGCTCTCTCTCTCTCTCTCCCTTCCTCTCTGAGATCAATTACAAAATATATATAGAAAAAGAAGGGAGTGACATTTTGATCTGTAATCAATCTTCATAATAGAAAACTTGTAACAGGAATATATGTTGCTGATAGGAACAGATGAGGAACAGGCGGCCTGCCCACCTCCTGTTACATAAACGTGCCCGTGCGTGCTTGCGTGTGTGTGTGTGTGTGTGTGTGTGTGTGTGTGAGTGACTGTGTCTCGTGTGTGACTATGTTGCTGTGCTGGCTTTGGCTGAGTCAGGTTTCTTCTCTGAAACGGAGGAAGGACTGCTGTCTGGAACCTGCGATGACCGAGACCCCGTGCACCAAGGCGGGAGGCACTGGGTACCACAGCCCCGCGATCTGCCTTCAGAAAAGGGGGGCCCCTTGGTGTCCAGCTGATAGGAGGAGGGAGGGAAGCGGTGAGCATCCCCGTGGTCAGGGCTGAGACTCCTAACGGCTCTGCAGGCTGTCCCAGTCCTCCCAGCCTCTGCCTTCTGTGTGTTTCGTGGGTTTAGGTCCTGGGTCAGGCTCTGCAGAAGCGCAGCCCGCAGTGATGGGCAGAGAGGGTCCATCTCTCCCCCTTCGCGCTCCCCCTCCCCCAGGGCCTGGCTCGGTCTTGAATTAGGAGTTCCCTAGGGAGGATGAGAATGCAAGCACTGCGTGTGGGCTGCCTGGCAGGCTCTTGGCCCCTAGAATGGAGGGACAGCTACTGCGTTCTGGGAACTCGGGGCCGGGCCCTCTCCCACCAATTTTGCAACGAATCCCCTAAAATAGCTCCCGCAGGCCATCAGCCTCGCCTGCCCACCCTGCAAATGACCGCAGCGTGCGAGCGAGCAAGCTCTCGGGAGGCGGCCCGGGATGCAGGCCTGGCTGCCTCTGGCTCCTGGCCGTGTGGTTCTCTCTCTGAGCATCTTGCGATTTGTTCTCTCCGAGCAGATGCTCGGGCTGCTGTCTGTTCTGCGTCGTCGATCTGGGTCGTGCTGCCTGGGGTCCGGGCTGTTTGCATTTCCCATCAGAGGTCAGACTTCACGGGAGTTTCCCTCCCGTGCTCCGTGGCAGCGGCCTCTGGAATCGTTCCGGGAGGAGCCACGACCTTGGGAAGCTGCAGAGGAGCAGATGGCGTTGGAAATTAGCACTGCTCGCTGCTTTATCTTCGGAGAGCCGGCTGGTGCATTGGGAATAAAGACTAACAAGAAAGAGGAGGAAAGTCTTCTTCTTAAAACCAGCATTCACCAGTCATAGGATTAAAATATATATATATATATATATATATATATATATATATATATATATACACACATATATATTTATTGATTTCAGAGAGAGGAAGGGAGAGGTTGAGAGAGACAGAAGCATCCATGATGAGGGAGAATCATGGATCGGCTGCCTCCTGCACGCTCCCTACTTGGGATCGAGCCTGCAACCCGGGCATATGCCCTGACCAGGAATGGAACCGTGACCTCCTGGTTCCTAGGTCAGTGCTCAACCACTGAGCCACACCAGCCAGGGTGTAATAGGATTCATGAGCAAAGCTACCTGGACGCCTGTCTTGGGGGAAAGGTGTTTCCTACCTTGAGCTCTGTGGCTCCAGGAATGTGAGTCCTGCATCTTGGTTGTTGCAGGATAAGCCTTACGAAGTGCCACGCAGTATCAGGCATGTGCCGGGCCCCAGAAACCACGGGGGGCTTCCTGGAGGAGGCGTCCGCTCATGTGCCAGGGGAACCTGTGCCCATGACGAGGGCCATAGCCACAGAGCAAGGCTCGCCCTGCTTCTCAGCCCAGAACAGAGAGCACAGGTGGGTCTTCTGAGGCCGAGTCGGGGGTGGTGAGAAGGGTGATCACCGGTTAACGATCACCATCAACTAGTCAGACTTTCATTCAGAAAAGGTGGTGCCCCCCCCCTTTTTTTTAATAACTCCGAGAACTTTTCTCAGTAAAAAAGCTTTATATTTGTCCAGCCGGTGTGGCTCAGTGGTTGGGCGTCGACCTATGAACCTAGTAGTCATGGTTCGATTCCCGGTCAGGGCACATGTCCTAGTGTGGGGTGTGCAGGAGGCAGCCGATCAGCGATTCATCACTGATGCTTCTCTCTCTCTCTCTCTCTCTCTCTCTCTCTCTCTCTCTCTCTCTCTCTCTCTCCATCTCTGAAATAAATGAAAATATATTTAAAAATCAAAGACTCAGTGGGTGGCAATCCCTCTGTGTAAAAATGGGGGAATTTTTTTCCCGTACCTGAATTTTTAAGGTGGAAGCGTTGACTTCCTGAGTTTATCGTCACCAGATGAACAATTCCCAAATAGGACTCTGTCTCCTAATACTCGTAGCCTGAATGAAATCAAGTGACTACACAATTACATTATATTCTTAAGGGCTATTTTGTTTAATGTTATGAAAAGCTAATACATAGGATAATTCTACCAAGATTATAATTAGGATATAACTTAAACTCTATTATACTGCTTGGTATCGTTATTAACATTTTATAAAAGTCAATCTGAAAGAATATTCTTTTTGAAGTTACTGGGATAACTCTCTGGAATCAATTTAAAAAAAAAAAATCATTGTGTGACCACCTCACCCTCTCTCTGTCTGAAGAGCTATTTTGTTGAGAAATCACGTTTTTAGTGAAAGGAACATCGCCCTCCCTCCGTGTCCTTCCCACGGCATCTCTTTGAAAGCTATTATTGTTTTCATTGAGATTCAAGTTGTGTCTGTATCTCCAGGAGCTGTCTCTCTGGATGCGGGTTCTGCTGCTTCTGGGCCATCTCACTCTCACTGAGACCATGGGAGGGCCCTCGTTTTCTCTGGGGGCCCAACCACTGAGCCACCCTGGCTGGGTCAAACTTACTTTTTTCAAAATTCATTTTTATTTGATTGTAGAGAGAACAGAAGGGAGAGAGAGAGAGAGAGAACACTTTGATTTGTCATTCCACTTGTTTATGTATCCATTGATTCTTGGATGTGCCCTGATGGGATTGAACCCCCAGCCTCGGCATAGCTGGACGATGCTCTAACCAAACAGTACTACCCACCCAGGGCTCTCAGACCTTGTAACGAGGACGTGGTCTGGTGGTTGCCTGGGGAAGATGGAAGCCATGAGGGGCAGCCGTGAAGAGCCTCCTCCTGAACCAGGGTCAAGGGCCGCACGCACAGATGCAGGAGCGGCCGTGGCCGGGAGTTGCCTGCGCTCCGCTGGGCTGTTACATAACGGGCGCGTTCAGATGTTGCTGTCGCTATCATCAGAGGCTTTCAGCCTTGGTCTTTCAGGAGAGCTTAAAATTGTTTTGACCTATTTTCCGCTCTTTCTACCTGGAGATTAAAAGGCCAGCTCCGCTGAGCCATGGTGTTTGGGTCGTGGCTCAGCAGGGTTCTGTGACCTCCCCCCAGCCCGTGGGTCAGTGCATCAGGCACCGGATGCAAGGGAGTCTGGGAAGTGTCTGGTGTGATGTTGGGGTCCGTGTGATATTGTAAAGAACACGGGTGCCCTCTCTATCCATATATCTATATAGCTATAGTAGAGGCCTGGTGCACGAATTCATACACAGGTGGGATCTGGCCAGCCTGCCCCATGGGGGCCCATTGGGCTGGACCAGTGGGAGGGAGGGGCCACAGGCAGTTGGCTGGCTGGCCCTGCCCCTGACTGGGTGGGGGAGATGAGGCTTTTATACATATACATATCTACATATCTACATGTCTATCTACACATCTATATGTTTATATGTTTACATGTCTACATATATTTTTAAGTTGACTTCAGAGAAGAAGGGAGAGAGAAAGAGATAGAAGCATCAATGATGAGAGAATCATTGATTGCTGCCTCCTGCACGCCCCACACTGGGGATGGAACCTGCAATCCGGGCCTGTGCCCTGCCCAGGGATGGAACCGTGACCTCCCAGGTCATAGGTCGATGCTCAACAAGTGAGCCGCGCCGGCCGGGTGAGAACATGGCTTCTGAGTCAACTTCCTGAGTCTGCTCTGAGTGCAGCCACGTCCTTCAACTCTCCCACCTCCCAGCCTCTAGGACTCACTCGACAGAGTCCCTTCACCTGAGCCTCCGCTCGCTCCTCTGCGATAAACCACTGATGGCTCCCAGCCTGGATGGGGGGGGGGGGGGGAAGGCCACGTGGACACCCTTCCCAGCAGGTGGGGAGCGGCCAGCGGGAGTCCAGGTGGGAGTGTGCTGGGGCTGGCGCCAGCAGGGGAGGGGAGGGGAGGGGCAGGGGCTCCCAGGTGGCAGGAGCATGGAGGGTTGTTCAGACCATTGTAAGGATGGAGGGCAGCGGGAGCCCAGGGGTTCTGGCTGAGGGCACCCTGGCCCGGTGTGACTGCAGAGAGATGCAGGCCACAGGAGGACCCGGCTCCGCCTTCATCTGACAAGGTGGGGGAGAGGGGTGGGGACGAGAGGAGGGGGAGAGGGGTGACAAGAAATAGGCAGCCCTCCCCCAGTCTCCCCCCACCCCCCACCCCCCACCCCCCGGTCCAGTTCCCGGGCGCCTTGGGCAGGGCCCGCCGCTCTGGATCAGCCTGTGAAGGCCCTTTGAGCAGTTCAGAGGCGGGAAGGTTCCCGTGGGTGTGCAATCTTGGCGGGCAGTCCTCACCGTCCCGGGAGCATCCGTCCGTCCGGCCTTTTCCGTAAAAAGGCCATTTCATCTTCTCTTTGCAGCCGCGTCACTAACGAGCAGGTGCCCGGCAGGGGCCACCGTGGCCAGCTCGCCGGGGCCCGCTCCGCTCCGGAGGAGGGCAGGCTGGGCTCGGGCATCCTCTGGCTAATGGGGTGACGACGGCCGTGCCTCTGGGGCCGTGTAACGGGTGCCAGGCCCCTTGTGTTTATTGCCGTCAGCGATGGTGAGGGTGAGGTTTATTTCTCTGGGAAATGGCACATGCCTCGTAATTGCACTAAATTCCTGCAGGAGCTGGTTTGTGGACGACCCAGCGCCGCTCTCCGTCCTCCTGCGTCTCGGTTTGATGCCGGACGCGGCCCTGGTGCGGGGAGCAGAAGGTCCTTGGCGTGGCCCCTGGGTGCTGGCAGGTCGGAGGTCAGGGGTCTGATGTTGCTTAGAGTCTGTCGCTGGCGCTGTCCCCCACGAGCGGCACCTTAGCATGTTCATTTTATAATGATGCCCCGCGAGAGCTTCTGTCTGTAAAACCTCTGCTGTGCCCGGCCGGCGTGGCGAGTGTCCAGGGGGGAGGCGGCAGTGAGGGAGAGGGCCTCTGAGTGATGGATGTGTGGGGAACTTGGTCGGCGGGTGAAGGGACCCTGGGGGAGACAGACCCGGGTTCCAGTCCTGCCTCTGGCCTGCGGGGCTGGGCCCTTGGGCCAAGTCCAAACCCTCCTCCTGGCGCCTTCCGTCTGCCGCACACCCACCATGTGCTGGGCACCCTGCCAGGAACCTGCCATCTGTGCCCTGGGCCCCACTTCCCGAGTCTGGGGGGGTGGGGTGGGGTGGTGTTCATTGTCTTCGTTTTACACGTGAAGAAACGCAAACTGAGGCTCGAAGCTGCTCATCCAAGGTCACCCAGCTGGTAAGGGCAGAGCGAGGACCTCAGGGCTGCTGGATGGCCCTTTAGGACACGCTGCCTCTTCACCTCAGTCTCCTCATCTGTGAAATGGGTATTTGTGATGCCAGGGAATTGTGTGTTCAAGTCCTAGCACACTCCTCTGTACCCACAGGGCCGTGGCCAATTATTCGTCCCCTTCCTCCTCTCCCCTCCCCTCGGGGCTTCTCCGCTCTCTGAGCTGCTTCCTGGAGTACCCGGTTGGTCCAGGGAGCAGCTGCGGGCTTGCCGGTGTCCTGGCTGACGCACTCTCTCTCCCCTGAGCCATAGTGAGGGCTCGGGGAAGGGACCTTCCTGCTAACTATGTTGTTAGTCACTGAACTCCACACTGCCCTTTGCAAAGGTGACAGTGAAATTGCTGCCTTTCACTTCGCCTGTCAGCCTCGCGTTCCGAATGGAAGTGGCTTTCTTTCTTTCTTCCCTCCCTCCCTCCCGCGACGTATTCACACCCGCCCCGGCTTGGTGTCTGTCCCTGGCACATGCGTGTCAGGGCCCGGACGGAGGTGCCCCCGTGTCTGCGGAATCACGTGCGGCTGGCTGAGCGGCCTGGACTGGGGGCGGAGGGACAGATGCCCGGTCATTACCGGCTTCCTCCCACGGTTGTTGTTGTTGTGGGGGGGGCTGGCAGGGATGGCCTTGTGTTTTAAGGGGGCAGTTAGGCAGCGTTTTAAAGAGCTAGGCCTACAGCTTTTTTTTTTTTTAATCTCATGCGTTCGCGCCCACGTCGGCGCTGGGGAGGGAAGCCAGGCGCGGTCTGCCCACGTCCTCCTGGCTATTCTGCTGTCTCACTGGGAGCCGCTTCCATCTTTCAGGAAAGAGACAGAGGGCAGGACCCGGTGAAAACGGCACGTGCGGCCCCAGCCGCCTCCTCTCTGACCGGGAAGGGGCTGGGCAGTTCTTCCCTGGCCGGTGTGGCAGTGTCAAGCTGCCGGCCTGCTCCCGGGGTTTAGGCCGGCCCCCAGCCAATCGGAAGTGGGGAGGTTCCCCATCTTTGACATTCAGACCCCCCCTCCCCCCAGTTGGGCTCTTCCCTGCGTGTCAGCAGCATCTGCTCAGGCTGCTTTCCTCCAAGTCCTGGCAAACAATAGCCCGGGTTTCTCGGGGATATTTATAACCGGGACAGCACAAAGGAGCATTTGATGCCCACGTAGCATTTAAAGAATTCTTTTCTCCCCCCTCCCTCCCCCCGCCCCCCCGTCTCATGAAAAATTCATCCCCCGAGGCCTGGCTGCTCTCCGCCTCCTAAGTTTGGGTGTCTGGGCTTGTCTGCTCCTCTTCCTTCTTAGACGCTTAGGTGGGGTATGGGGAGGGGGGCAGCCTGCGGAGATCTGTCTGCTGTGAGAGGGTGGACCCACCCTCTAAGGGAACGCAGTGACCACCAGGGGGCAGCCCCTGCGCTGAGCACGCAACCCGGGCCTGTGTCCTGACCGGGAATCGAGCCACGGCCTCCTGCTTCATAGGTTGACGCTCCACCACTGAGCCGCGCCGGCCGGGCTCCCTTGCTCTGGATCAGTGTTTCTGAATTTGCCAGATTTGTAAGAAGGGTGTGTGCAGCGTGAAGAGGGGCCCCTGGTGGTGGTGTGTGAGTCGCAGGAGACTGGGGTGCGGGGGGGGGGGGGGGGGGGGCCTGGTGCGTGAGCCCCAGGGTGGCCCGCGGGCAGAGGGGCAGCGATGGCAGCGCCCCCACCCTGGCCTGGGCGTAATCAGCCCCCGGCCTGCCGTTGCAGGTCCCACCCGGAAGATGCCCCCCGGTGCCAGCGCCATCGACTTCTTCCAGCTCTTCGTCCCCGACAACCTGCTGAAGAGCATGGCGGCGCAGACCAACATGTACGCCCGCAAGTTCCAGGAGCGCTTCGGCGGCGACGGCGCCTGGGCGGACGTGACGCTGGCCGAGATGAAGGCCTTCCTGGGCTACATGATCTCCACCAGCATCTCCCACTGCGAGTCCGTGCTCAGCATCTGGAGCGGCGGCTTCTACAGCAACCGCGGCCTGGCGGGCGTCATGAGCCAGGCCCGCTTCGAGCGCGTCCTCAAGTACTTCCACGTGGTGGCCTTCCGCTCCGGCCCGGCCGCCCACGGGCTCTACAAGGTGCAGCCCTTCCTCGACGCCCTGCAGAGCGGCTTCGACGCCGCCTTCCGGCCCTCCCAGACCCAGGTAGGCGGCTCCGCGGGCTCGGCGGGCCCCTCGGGGCCCCCACCATCGGCAGCTGTGCCGGGGAGTCACCCTGGGGTCCTCCCTTCCTGCCTGGACTCTGAGGTCACTTCAGGGTCATCCACGGGGAACCCAGGGTCGTGCAGGTCAGCAGCTCCCGGCCCCAGACGATCAGAACTCGGGGTTTTGCTCTGAGATGCACTTTTTCCTCCTCTTTTCTCCCCACCCTCCCTCTCCTTTATTTTATTTTCCCAAAAATAGTGTTTTTATTGATGTCAGAGAGGAAGGGAGATGGGGAGAGAGAGAAACATCCATGATGAGAGAGAATCATGGACCGGCTGCCTCCTGCACGCACCCCCCCCCCCCCCCCCCCCCCCCACCGCTGGTGATGGAGCCCACAACCCGGGCCTGTGCCCTGACCGGGAATGGAACCGAGACCTCCTGGTTCACACGTCCACGCTCTAACCACTGAGCCATGAGGGCCGTGTGGGATTCGTTTTAACGCAGACAGGAAAGAAATTCTCGCTGGCCCTGCCACGCCGGTGAGGCGTGTGGTTTGCGCCGATAATGCAGGCGGAGTGGAGGCGTTGGCTCTGGGAGCGTGCGTGGAGCGGGCAGCCGGAGCGGCCTCTGCAGCATCCCCCTCCCCCCTCCCCCCTCCTCCTCTGCTCCATCTCCCTCCGAGGCGGGCACTCGCCGTCTGGCTAGAGTGGTTCCAAATGGTGCTCGACTGTTTGCTGAGCCGCAGGTTCAGGAGGCAAGTGGGAGGCACCTCCTCCGGGCAGCTCGCCAGGCCTCCCCTCTGAGCAGGAGTCGCTGGGCTTGTCGCCCCTCTAACCACAGGAAAGCCGAGGGCCAGGGCGGGACCCGACGCCCCTGTGGTTTGTAATGGCATCCAGGCGGCATGGAGGAGAGGGTGGAGGGTAGGTGAGCGTTACCCCCCGCTCTGCCCTCGGCCCAGCGTGTCCGGACTCCGCAGGAGCCTGCCGGAGAGGCAGACCTCGGGCCCTGCCCACTGCTTGCTGAATCAGAGCCGGCCCGTTAGCAAGTCCGCCCCCCACACTCCCCACCCCTGAGCCAGGCCTGATGAGGCCCTGAGCATCTCTGCTCGCCCTCCGCCGGCAGGTGCTACACGAACCCCTGATTGACGAGGACCCCGTGTTCATCGCCACGTGCACGGAGCGCGAGCTGCGCAAGAGGAAAAAGCGGAAGTTCAGCCTGTGGGTCCGGCAGTGTTCGTCCACCGGCTTCATCGTCCAGGTGAGCCCGGGGGGCAGGGCCGAGGAGAGGCGGGGTAACGGTGACCGCTCCCTCACGGCCTTTGGCTGTGCGGCCCGCAGATGTTCCCGCCGAGGCTGGGCCCCGTGCTGCCCTCCACGCTGAGCACTGGGGAGGCCGACGCTGTCCCCTGCACGTTCGTCCCACCCACCTCAGCCCTCCGGTTAAACTGACCCAGACGCAGGCCCCACCCGGCCGGCGTGGCTCAGCCATTGAGCGTCCACTTAGGAACCAGGAGGTCAGGGTTCGATTCCCGGTCAGGGCATGTGCCTGGATCGTGGGCTCCATCCCCAGTGGGGGACGTGCAGGAGGCAGCCGACCCATGAGTCTCATCATTGACACCTCTCTCTCTCTCTCTCTCTCTCTCTCTCTCTCTCTCTCTCTCTCTCCCCCCACTGCTCCCTCTAGGAAACCAATAAAAATATATTTAAGAGAAAGAGCAATGATTGGGTTAAATTGAAGTCGTTAGGGCTGAAGCCGGTTTGGCTCAGTGGTATAGCGTCGGTCTGCGGACTGAAAGGTCCCAGGTTCGATTCTGGGTAAGGGCATGGACCTTGGTTGCGGGCACATCCCCGGTAGGGAGTGTGCAAGAGGCAGCTGGTCAATGTTTCTCTCATCGATGCTTCTAGCTCTCTATCTCTCTCCCTTCCTCTCTGTAAAAAATCAATTAAAAAAAAAATATATATATATATATACATATATATATATATATATATATTTTTTTTATTTTATTATTTTTTTTTTTAAATGAAGTCGTTAGGGACGAAACCTGTTTGACTCAGTGGATAGAGCATCAGCCTGCGGACTGAAAGGTCCCAGGTTCGATTCCGGTCAAGGGCATGTACCTTGGTTGTGGGCACATCCCTGGTGGGAGGTGTGCAGGAGGCAGCTGATCGATGATTCTCTCTCATCGATGTTTCTAGCTCTCTGTCCCTCTCTTTCTCTCTGTAAAAAATCAATAAAATATATATATTTTTTAAAATGAAGCCGTCAGGGACGGAAGCCGTGCTGCCCGCGTGGGCCTGCCGCCGCCGCTGTGGCTCACGGCCGCTGTCTCCCCGCAGATCTACGTGCACCTGAAGGAGGGCGCGGGCCCCGACGGGCTGGACGCGCTGAAGAACAGGCCGCAGCTGCACGGCGCCGTGGCCCGCAGCCTGTGCCGCAACGCGGGCGGCAAGAACTACATCGTCTTCACGGGGCCCAGCATCACCAGCCTGGCGCTGTTCGAGGAGTTCGAGAAGCAAGGTCGGTCCTGGGTGCGGCCCGGAAGGAGGTGCTGGGGGTGGGGGGTGGCGTCCAGCACAGCCGTGCCAGGAGGACAGACCCGGGGAGCAGATTGCCGCGGCCCCGGGCCCCGCCGGGCACTGCCGGGCACTGGAGCTGAGGGGCCCGAGTCCGGCTCCCGAGGACCAGCCAGCACACAGCCAAGGCCGCGGCCGCTGCGGGAGCCTGCGGTGCGGTCCATTCGCTGCTGTAACAAGAGGCCACAGGCGGGCTCACAGACCACCAGGGGTATTGCACTCACACCCGCCTGTACACACTCACACCCGCCTGTACACACACACACCCGCCTGTACACACTCACACCCGCCTGTACACACACACACCCGCCTGTACACACTCACACCCGCCTGTACACACTCACACCCCACCTGTACACACACACACACCCGCCTGTACACACTCACACCCGCCTGTACACACTCACACCCGCCTGTACACACTCACACCCGCCTATACACACACACACCCGCCTGTACACACACACACACCCGCCTGTACACACTCACACACCACCTACACACACCCACACCCACCTGTACACACACACACACCACCTACACACACCCACACCCCACCTGTACACACACACACACCACCTACACACACCCACACCCCACCTGTACACACACACACACCACCTACACACACCCACACCCACCTGTACACACACACACACCACCTACACACACCCACACCCCACCTGTACACACACACACACCACCTACACACACCCACACCCCACCTGTACACACTCACACCCGCCTGTACACACACACACACCCGCCTGTACACACTCACACCCGCCTGTACACACTCACACCCGCCTGTACACACTCACACCCGCCTGTACACACTCAACACCCGCCTGTACACACACACACCCGCCTATACACACACACACACCACCTACATGCATTCACACCCACCTATACACACACACACACCACCTACATGCACTCACACCCACCTGTACACACTCACACCCGCCTACACACACACACACACCCCACCTACACACACTCACACCCGCCTGTACACACCCACACCCGCCTACACACACACACACACACACACACACACCTGTACACACTCACACCTGCCTATACACACACACACCACCTACACACACCCACACCCGCCTGTACACACTCACACCCGCCTATACACACACACACACCACCTACACACACCCACACCCACCTGTACACACTCACACCCGCCTATACACACACACACACACCACCTACACACACCCACACCTGCCTGTACACACTCACACCATCTACAGGCACTCACACATGCCTATATACACGTGTCCCACACACCCGCCACAGATGGGAAGTTTGATGAGCATTCGTCCTGTCCCGAGCCCGCTGGGCTGGGGAGCCGCTGGGCTGGGAGCCGCTGGGCTGGGGAGCCGCTGGGCTGGGGAGCCGCTGGGCTGGGGAGACTCTGGGGCTGGGAGCCTCCGGGTTGGGAGCCTCCGGGCTGGGGAGACTCTGGGGCTGGGACCCGCTGGGCTGGGAGCCTCCGTGCTGGGGGGCCTCCAGGGCTGGGAGCCGCCGGGCTGGGGGGCCCGGGGCCTGATGCCATCCGTGGTCTGTGTCCTCCCCCCACAGGGATCTACTGCTGCGGGCTGCTCAGCTCCCGGAAGAGCGACTGCACGGGCCTGCCGCGGTCCATGCTGGCCAGCCCCGCCACGCCGCCCGCCCGGGGCCAGCACCGCATCCGCACCAAGGGCAACATGTCGCTCATCTGCTGGTACAACAAGGGCCACTTCCGCTTCCTCACCAACGCCTACTCGCCCGTGCAGCAAGGTGGGCGCCGTGCGTGCGGGCGGGGCGGGGCGCGGGGTGCTGGGGGGACGCCGGTGAGTGAGGCCGCCCCGCTCTGTCCCCCAGGCGTGATCATCAAGCGGAGGAGCGGGCAGGTGCCCTGCCCCCTGGCCGTGGAGGCGTTCGCCGCGCACCTCAGCTACATCTGCAGATACGACGACAAGTACAGCAAGTGGGTGCCGGGCTCCCATCCACCACTCCCATCCGGGCGAGGGCCGGGGGGCGGGGGGTCCTGCCGTCACCGCACAGACACAGGGACCGGGGGCGGGAGTGGGCCTTTCCATTTCACAGGGAAAGATGGAAAGAACAGGCCCCCCGAGAGCAGCCCGGACGGGGCCCTCCCCCGGCTCCCCAGCAGCCCAGCGTCCTCCGCACCTGCCCCTTCCCTGGCCCCTCCTTCCCTGCCCAGAGGTGCCTCCTCCGCCTGCTCATCTCTCCCTCCTCCCTGGCCCAGACCCCGCACCCCTGTCCCACCTGCTCCTGACCCTCCCGTGGCCTTTGTCTGCCTGTGGCCGCGTGTCTGCCATGACCTGTGTCTGCCCGTGGCCTGTGTCTGCCCGTGGCCTGTGTCTGCCTGTGGCCTGTGTCTGTCCGTGGCTGCGTGTCCCCCCGTGGCTACATGTCTGCCATGACCTGTGTCTGCCCGTGGCCTGTGTCTGCCCGTGGCCTGTGTCTGCCTGTGGCTGCGTGTCCCCCCGTGGTCACATGTCTGCCATGACCTGTGTCTGCCTGTGGCCGTGTGTCTGCCCGTGGCCCCACACTGGAGTTGGAGCCCATCACCCGGGCCTGTGCCCTGAGCAGGAATCGCACCGTGACCCTGTTCCCAGGTGGACGCTCACCCCCCCCAAGCCCCGCCGGCCGGCAGGGTGGGCGGCCCTGACCCCCGTGTCCACGCAGGTACTTCATCGCTCACAAGCCCAACAAGACGTGGCAGCAGGTGTTCTGGTTCGCCGTCAGCATCGCCGTCAACAACGCCTACATCCTCTACAAGCTCTCGGACGCCTACCACACGCACAGGCTCAGCCGCGCGCAGTTCGGAGAGAGACTCGTGCGGGAGCTGCTGGGCCTGGAGGCCGCCTCCCCGACCCCCTGAGGGCCGGGCTCGGGACGGACCAGGTGGGGGGAGCGCCTGCCGTCCACCTGCCCGCCCGCCCCGGGCCGGGGGACGCGGTGCAAGGAGGGGCGCCCGCCCCGACTCCGCACGCCACGTGCCACCCGTGCCACGGCTCAGCACCACGGCCGGGAGGGCTGGTGCCCGCGGTGCCAGGGGCAGGGGGAGCGCGGCACACGGAGCTGGACGTGTGGCCTGGCTCGCCGCCGTGTGGACGTGGCCTCGGCCAGCGGGCGGGCCGTGCGGCTGAGCCGGTCGGTGCGCGGAGGGGGCTCCGCGCTGGGGCTGAGCGAGGCCTCGCGAACGAAGTGTGATGCTATTTTTTACTTTTAAATATATCTTCAGGTTATTTTCTTACTGTTGCTTAAGGTCGTCTGTAACAGGGAACGTCTCCCTTCTTCCCCATGCCCCCCCGCTTCCTCACCCCCGGCTCCCAGCAGGATCCCAGGCTCGGGCCCGTGAGGGCAGCTCAGATGGGGGAACCAGGGACCCCGGCTGCCCGAGAGCCTCTCGCGTGTCATTGGCGGGACGACTGGTCTTGGCAAACAGGCAGCGTGGCCGGAGCAGACAGACCATCGCCAGGACGGCCACGGCTGCGCCTCGGTGCCCGTGGGCCCGGGTGTGCCTGTCTCGGTGGCACTTGGACGGGGGTCGACGTCGCACACCCACGGGGGGAGGGCTGCTGGCTGGTCTGTGTGATCTCCCGAGGGGACACCACGACAGGACAGACTGCGGGCAGCCGGGGCCCATGGTCCCCAAAACGAGCCACCAGTCCCTTCTGGCGCCACGTGCTCCCCTCCCGCCGACGGACGAGCCCCGCAGTTCACCATTCTCACCCGTCAGTCACGTGTGCCGGCAGCATGCCCACCTCCTGCCCCGTGTCCTCGGCTCCCGACGCCCACCTCGCCCCTGGAGTCCCCTCGGGGCCCCTCGGCGCAGCCGGATCCCAACTCGTGTGTCCGGACGCCTCGCCCGTCCCCCGGGATCAGGAGCGCTTTTTCCACGTGAGAATCTATTTTTAATTTGTGGCGCTTTTTCTACAGGGTCCGCCGTTTCTGAGCTGAGCGTGTCCCCCCCTCCCCGCTTGGGGAGACGCGAATGCAAGCCGGCGGGGGGTGGGGGGTGAGTTTTCTTTTCTGTCCAAACCAGTCAAAGGGAAAAATAAAAGTCTATTTAGATGTTGCGTCTGTTAGTATGTGCGTTTGTGACAAGGTCATTGGGTATGACGGGCGGCCAGGAGCTGGGACAGGTTCTTCCTGTCGTCACGGCAGGGAACAGGGGCCGGAGAAGCCGTGGTTTCCGGCCGAGGCCGTCTCAGAGCACACGCTGCGAGGTGTAAGGGCCAGAAGCCACCAATCCCCGGGCCCCCGCTTCAAGTTTCAGAGATCCCGGTCTTCCCACCAAGCCTTCTTGGCTGCGCTGACCTTGGCAGTGACCCACCCGCCCTGTCGCCCGGCCCTCAGGGCAGTCTGCCAGTACATATATTTTTATTGATTTCAGACAGGGAGAAAGGGAGAGAGAAAGAGAGAAACATCAGTGAGGAGAGAGAATCACGGGTCGGCTGCCTCCTGCACGCCCCGCACTGGGGACGGAGCCGGCACCTGGGCAGGTGGCCTGACCAGGAATCGAACCCTGGCCTCCTGGTTCCTAGGCTGGCGCTGAGTCACTGAGCCTCGCCGGCCGGGGCAGCCTGGTGGGTTTTTATTCCCATTCACCATCCAGCACAGTGAGAAGTCTAGAGATCCGGCAGGGGGGATGACTGAACCCCCAAAGGGAGACCCACAGCCTGGAGAACGGAGGATTGTGCATGGACGGAGGGAGGGCTGGGAAGAGGGGAAGGCGTCGGTTCCCACAGTGTTGGGGGAAAGGGGGGCGTGGAGAGGGGAGAGAACTATTTAACCACCTAAGGTAAATCCTCTTCAAACCGGAATGTGGGGGATTGGTCTTGTCTGTCCGCCTTGAGGTGGTGCGCTCCCGTGTCTGCCCAGCAGAGGGCAGCAGAACACACCTTAGGAGCCTCAGTGTGCGGGACGGTGCTCGGAGAGGCCGGGACCACAGAGCAGGCCTGAGGGGGCGGGAAGGGCGGGAGGGGAGGCGTGAACCCCAGCCACCCCAGGACACACGTGTCACAGGCATGTTGGCTGCAGAGAAGGCGGCTACCGAGGGGGCTGGGCCGATACCCCATGGTCACAGTCATGGTCACGGGATGGGACGCCCAGCACGGGGTGGGGGCTCAGCCAGCTGAGTGACAGCCCAGTGCACGTGGGTCAGCGCGGTTCCGGGCCACCTTTCACAGTCAAGGTTCTCGACGGAGGAGGGTGTGGCCCACTGGGAGGTGCCTGCAGGTGCTTCCTGGGAGGGGCGAGTGCGCCTCCTCAGCTAGGGACAGGCTAGAACCGAGGTCGGCAAACCGCGGCTCACAAGCCACCTGCAGCTCTTTGGCCCCTGGAGGGCGGCTCTTCCACAAAACACCACGGCCTGGGCGGGTCTGTGTGTAAGACGTGGCGTTAGACGTTTGCGTTTAAAAAATGTGGCTCTCCAGAGACGTGTCCGTCGTTGTCCTGTTGCTGTTGGGCTCTGCGGACGGATGAGTTTGCCGACTGCTGGGCTAGGAAATGAGGCAGGAACTCCTCGCTGTAGCTGCATGCCCAGCAGGTGAGGGATCGGCGGTGGATAGAGATGATGAGAGACGGGTGACAGATAATAGGTTGATAATAAATAGGAGAGAGAGAGAGAGGGAGAGAGAGAGAGATGGGGGGGTCTTTTTGCCTTGACACCCCGTTTGGACCTCAGTCGTCCTGAGGCCTCTCCCTCAGCTCTGGGCATCCGTGTGTTGGCAGCATCAGGCCCTCCCTCCCCCCGGGGAGAGCCGCCTGCGCAGGGAAACCGAGGGGCCTGCGGGAGTCCCAGTCCCGCTGGCTCCTGGTCCCCGTGCTCTGTGCTCCCTAGGAGGCCCGGCCTCACCTCCATCAGCAGCCTGCCACCCTCTCCCGGTCCCGGAAAGCAATCAGGGCTCTTTAAAAATTATAAATACATTTTCATTGATTTCAGAGAGGGAGGGAGAGGGGGGGAGAGAGAAACATCCGCGATGAGAGAGAACCCTGGATCGGCTGCCTCCTGCACGCCCCCTATTGGGGATGGTGCCCAGACCCCGGGCCTGTGTGCTGACCGAGAATCGAACCCTGACCTCCTGATTCCTAGGTCGACGCTCAACCACCGAGCCCGGCACACGTGGCTCTTTAAGGAGGAGGCAGCCAGGTGTGGGCCGTGGAGCCGCACACAGAGGGATAGTCCGCGTCACGTGGCCGGGGCGAGGGCTGCGGAGGGCGGAGCTGGGGGGTGCCTGGGCCTGAGGACACGGCCAGTGTGGGCCCCGGAGGCCGCACGGGGGTCTCCTTCGGAAAGGGGCGGGAACAATGTCCGTTTGAGGGGCTGTCGGCGGGGGAGACGGGGCCCGGGGCAGAGGGAGCGCCCTCCGGAGGAAGTGAGGACTCGGTCCGGGAAGAAGGCCGACAGGACTGGGAGAAGATGGACCCCCCAAAGGTGAGAGCTCGGGCAGCGGGCTCCCCACGCCCCCTCTCCTGCCCACACCCCCACACAGCCCCACAGAACCAGACGGGGCCGAGGACGCCCGGTCCAGCCAACGCAGAGGGGCTGTGGATCCGGGGCCAGGGCCGGGGGGAGGGGGCAGAGAGGGCCGCTGGCTCCTGGGGGCCCCCTCTCTCTAGATCTGAGGGCCTGGGGGGGGGGGGCAGGACGGACCTCGGAAGGTCCTAGAACTCCTGCTCCCTCCTCAGCTCTCAGGATGAGACACCCCTCGAACCCTCGCGGGGACGCCGAGAGGAACTTGAGGTTCGGGCAGGAGATGGCCAGAGGCGGGGCGAGGCCGGAGCAGCCCAGGAGGCGGCAGGTAAGGGGAGCGAGCGGGGAGGGGAGGGGGAGGCGTGCACACTGCGGGGAAGCAGTGCCTCTGGGCGGAGTCAGATCCCTGCTCCTGGCTTGCACCTCGGAGAGGTCTCTCCGGGTCGGACATGGGAGGTCCCGCCGGGCAGAGGGCACGCCGTGTCTAGTTCAGGCCGTTCCTGCCGCGCCCGAGGCAGGGCCGGGCTCCGTGGAAGCGCCGTTTTGTTCCCGATGACGCGAGCGATTCGCAGGGGTTCGCGCCGCTGGACGGCGGGGGCGGAGTGTGCCCCAGGCCTGCCCTCCGGGAAAGGAGGAGGCTGGGCTTGATGGAGGGTGGGGCCCACTGGGACCTCGTCACCCCCCCGGGACCCCACGGGCGATGGGAGTGAGGCCGGGGGAGGAGGCGAGGCGTGTGGGGCCTCACACAGGTGCCGTCTCTCAGGCCGGTCACTGATGGCGGACGGACCGGAGGCCCCATGGGGGTTAACGAGGCAGCTGGTGTGCTTCTGGGCCACCCGGTAACGACTACAGGCACCCCAAGTGCCCCTCTCTCTAGATCTGAGGGCCTGGGGGGGGCAGGACGGACATCGGAAGGTCCTACAGCACCTCTGTCGTCCTGACAACAGCCCTGGGACCTAGGCTCCAGGGTGACCCCTCCCTCCAGACGTAGAGGCTGAAGCACAGAGGGGTTAAGCAACTCGGTCAAGAACCACACAGCCATGCCCTCACCGGTGTGGCTCAGTGGATGGAGCATAGGCCTGTGGACTGAAGGGTCCCGGGTTCGATTCTGGTCAGGGGCACGTACCTTGGTTGCGGGCACATCCCCAGTGGGGGGTGAGCAGGAGGCAGCTGGTCGATGATTCTCTCTCATCGATGTTTCTGGCTCTCTATCCCTCTCTCTTCCTCTCTGTAAAAAAATCAATAAAATATATTAAAAAAAAAAAAAAAAAGACAGGCAGAGAGAGACAGACAGACAGAGATAGATAGGCAGAGAGAGACAAAGAGACAGAGATACAGAGACAGAGTGAGATAGAGACAGAGACAAAGAGACAGGCCAGGGAGAGGGCGGGCCTGGCTGGTGAGGTGAGGCCAGGCCTGTGAGACGGCAGCTGCGGCCGAGAGCCTCCTTCCCCAAACCTTCCCGGAGAGACTCAGGGACAAGGCGCTTGGCCCTCCTGCTGGCGGGCCTCTCGGGGGACAGCAGGCCTGTGTGGCTGTCTGAAGGGAAAGGTGATGATGATCACCATCAGACGGGAATAAACAACAAAAGGGCGGGGTGTGTGTGTGTGTGTGTGTGTGTGTGTGTGGAGGGTGGATGCTTTCTGGACGTGTGATAAGAAACGGCCGCCAGCAGCCCCCTCCCCGAAGACAGACACCCCGTCCGCCCTCACACCGCCCTCCCCCAGTGCAAGGACGGCCGAGGCGGCGTGGGCGCCTTCTCTATAAAGCATCGTCTCTTTATTTTAAGTTAAAACGGTTTTCGAGGATGGTTTCCATCTATAAAACGGACAAAGCACAAGCTCTGTACAGCAGTTCTTTTTTTAAAAAAAAACCAACCGGGGGAGGGGGGGAAAAAACCAAGTTACCAAACTAGATTTTTGAATTTGCAAAACAGACCCACGGACGCCATCGATGGAGACCCCGGAGAGACGGCCACAGGGGGGCGGGGGCGGCACCCCGCTTTGTTCGGGGGGCTCTGGGGGGGGGAAGAACGTCGTGTGTAAAAAGGGGGTGGCGGGTGGTGGGGGGAGATGGGCCCCAAGGCGACAAGACACGCCGCCACCCACCGCAGGAAGTCGCTTTGGCACGCTGTGTCCTGTAAACATGGCTCGCCTGGGGGGAGGGGGCGGGGGCTCGGCCACCTCTGCTCCCAGCGCCCCCAGGGCCAGGGCCAGGGCCAAGGTCAAGGCCACGGGCCTGCCCGCTGGGGGGCAGGACGTCTCCGTAGATCCAAGGGCGCCTAGGCTTCTGGGTCGGGGGGAGGCGAGTGGGCGGAGGATCAGGGACCCGATGAGGATGTTTCCCGCCTGAGCCGGGTCTGGTTCCCACGGGGACGTGGTTTTCTGACAGCAGTAACAGTGCGGGGGACAGGTATGACGAGGGGGCCCAGGCGGGGGGCGGAGCCTGTGGGCAGTGCCCGGGGCCAACACAGGTGCCCGCCTCTCCAGGGGCCTCTGGAGGCGTTCGTGTGTGAGGCCACCCCTGGCACGGCCTGGCAGGGGCGGGAGGGAGAAGCGGGGGGTGGGGGTGCCTCGGTGGGGGTGCCCCCGCCACGGTGCCACGCCCCATCCATGTCACGAGCAAACACACGTGGAGGAAGAGAGACCCACCACGCTCCCTCTCCTAAGAGACCATCAGGCCTGGCCGGTGTGGCTCCGTGGTTGAGAGTCAGCCTGGGAACCAGGAGGCCAGGGTTCGATTCCCGGTCAGCGCACAGGCCCGGGTTGCGGACACCATCCCCAGTGTGGGGCGTGCAGGAGGCAGCTGATCCATGATTCTTGCTCACCATGGATGTTTCTCTCTCCCTCTCCCTTCCTCTCTGAAATCAATTAAAAAAAAAAAAAAAAAAAAAGATGAACTTTGATCTTAAAGAGGGGAATGAGCAGGACAGAGGCGCCGTGGCAGTGTGACTGGCAGGATCTCCCGGGGCCGTTTCTGGCCGGTGATGCCCCAGTCCCCCCCAGAGGGGCCTGGGAATGTGCCCGCAGGAGGCACAGGCCGCCCTGTGTGTGTGCTGGGGGCTGGGGGTGCGGCCGGCCTGAGACCAGGCAGGTGTGGGAGGGGGGGCCGGGAGGGCCGGGGGGGGGGGGCGAGGGGAGTGTGGCCAGGTGACCACAGCGCCTCCTTGGGGCTGGGGCTAGCCTGTCCCTCCAGAGGCAAGGAGGCTCCACGGGACACGCCGCCCTCCAGGGGGCGCCCCGCATCTCTCCCTGTGGTTACTTTCCGTTCGTCACCGTCCCTGGTTCACACGGGCGCCTGCTCCCCGACCCCTGACCCCCGGCCGCTGCTCAGGCCCCGGGCCTCAGTGTCACTGAGCAGGCAGGGCTGTTCCCACCGTCCTGGGCCCGGAGGGACGGACAGGCTGCCAGCTCTCGGCCCGTCGCTGGCCTGGAACAGTTCCTGCCGGTACCGGGAGCCGTGGGGTCAGTTCTGTTGTTTATTTTTCCGTCGAGAAAAGAAATCTCATTTAAAAAGACCTAAAGCAACGTCTGTCCAAACCAGTCCAGGCTGGTGGGTGCCAGGGGACGCCGGAGCCGGGCAGAGAGGCGTCCAGCCTCCGGGCCCCCGGCTGCCAGGGCCACCCCCAGGGGCCCGGCCGCTGCTCCGGGGGCATCACAGGGGGCGGAGCAACAGAAACCATCGGGCACGCCCTGCGCTGTTTGTATGTATTTATAGTGCGTGTCCCCGCACACGCCCACGGTCACGCTCACGGTCAGACACGGCAGGTCCTTCTCGGCCTGTGGAGGCGGCGGGAGGTGGGCCAGACCTGCAGGTGGCCGTCGGCGCGGTGGGCCCCGCGGGCTTGCGCTGGGGCACACGGAGGTTTCCGGAGAGTTCTCCCGCCGCGATGGAGCGTGTGCCCCTTCCCCTCCCGGCCCCCCCGGAGATGCCCCCGGTGTCCGGGCGGGGCCGGGAGGCGGAGCCGCCGGGAAGGGGCCGTGGTCCAGGGAGGGGAAGATCAGCCTCTTGCCCCGCTGCTGAGCAGAGGCGTCCGGGCCGAGGCGTCCGGGCCGAGGCGCCGGCCGCACACGCGGTGGAGCACTGAGGTATATCGTTTCGCGGAGAGTTCGAGAGGCGCGACCGATCCACGGACCCCCGACGGCCCGCAGGCCGGCGCCTACGGCTGCAGGTTCAGCGAGAACTTCCACTGCTGGGACAGCGCCGGGCCGCACACCTCCACGCTCAGGCCGCCCGCCTTGGCCCCGCGGCTGTCCAGGCACAGGTTGCTGCCCACGTGCCGCAGCTTCGAGTTGCCCTCGATCTGCTCCCATTTCTGCAAAAGACGGGAGGACGCCTCGCCGTGAGCTCCGGCCGGGATACAGACAGCCCGCCGGCCTGGCTCTGCGGCTGGGCGTCCGCCTGGGAACCCGGAGGTCAGGGTTCGATTCCCGGTCAGGGCACACGCCCGGGTTGTGGGCTCCGTCCCCAGTCGGGGGTGTGCAGGTAGCAGCCGATCCATGATTCTCTCTCATCATTGAGTTTCTATCTCTCACCCTCTCCCTCCAGCTAGGAGGGAGAAGGAGATAAGTGTGTGTGTGTGTGTGTGTATTTAAATAAATTAGCAGGGTGTTAACACACACACACACACACACACACACACACACACACACCAGCAGGCCTGTGTCCAGGGCCCTAGCGCTGCATCAAAACCAACATACACATGCTTCTCTGGTTTCTGGCCCTAAAGGAGGGCAGTTGGCAAGTGTCTCAAACTGCAGCAGCCGCAGGCCTACCAACAGCCCAGGAGAGAAACCCAGGGCCAGGCTGGTTTGCACCTCAAAGCTCTTCTCTGGGGCCCCTCAACCAACCTACCAACTGAACTCAACCAATCAAACTACCAACGGCATCCACTCACCAGGAGGCTTGTCTGGTATTTCACCCTAAGAAAGGAGCTGCAGGAAGCTGCCCAGCTCCGGGGCTTAATCCTGCCCCCCGACCCCCCCATCCCACCTCAAGACCCTGCCTGGGGGCTCCCACTTAGGGCCACGCTCAGGTGAGCCAGAGGCACGGTGTCAGGTCCACTAACAGGAAATGCCTTTGTGGACAGAGCGTCCAATTGAGGAACCTGTTTCTATGCTGTGTCTCCCCCACCGGTGTGTGGGCTCCTAGGTGCGTGTGGGAAACTGGACTCAGAGTCCCCAACATTCTGCATGGTTGGAACCAAACCATTTTGTTGGGTTCTGAATGTCCTACTTGTAAAATACAGCCATCCAAATACTTGTAACTGTCCTACTACTGTGTATGTACACACAGCACAGCCTAACACCAAACTACCAACCAAACTCAAACAACCTGCCAACAACTCAGCCAACCAACCAACTTACAACTAACCACTCAACCAACCTACCAACTGAACTCAACCAATCAACCTACCAACTGAACTCAACCAACCTACCAACTGAACTCAACCAATCAACCTACCAACTGAACTCAACCAACCTACCAACTGAACTCAACCAATCAACCTACCAACAGAATGAACTCAACCAACCAACCAACCAACCAACCAAACTCAATGACCAATCAATCCCTCACCCAACCAGCCAACCTCAATCCATTCATCCACCTACCAGGTCAGAAACACCCCCCCACACACACACCCAACTCTGCAAATGTGCTCACCACACGCACACAGGGACGTGTCCGGAAACCAAATATTCCACCTGGCAAGACCGCGTGGCATCGAGATAAAAATAGCCGAGAACCTCTCCTCCGAGGGCAAACGGGGGAGCCTGGAGGGGGCGGGGGAGGGGAGCAGAGCAACGCGGAGCCCAGCACCCCAGCTCTGGGCCGGCCACACGACCTGCGACCCTGAAACTCAGGGCGATCAGGTGAGCTGGGGCGGTGACTGCTGCTGCCCATCACCCCTTCGCTCCGGCTCCCCTCGGCCGTCACCCGTACGCCCGGGGCAGGGCACCGTGGCCTCTCAGTGTAACAGTCGCTTCCTCACCACACAGGCCCCTCCCGTCAGAACCACCTCATTGACACGGAGTCACCGGGACTGCGGGCCGCAAGCAGCCGTCCAGGTGCCACAGACAGCTCCCCAGAGGGACCGCAGCACGCCCCCCGCAGGCCCCGAGGGGAAATGACGGGCAGGCATCGCAGGCCCTCCCCCTGCCCAGCCCAGAGCCGGGCTCACCAGCCTTCACAGGAGCCCTGCCTGGTCAGCCCGGAGGGCAGGCCCATGGGAACAGACGAGAGGACATGGGAAGACTCGGCTCAGGACAATGACCCCAGGGCAGGAGCTGATGATGGGGGGGAGGTGCATGGGGCAGGTGCCGGCAGGAGACCCACCAGCCTTCAAGCGCCCACACCCACCGCTCCCCGACTCCAGGACCTACTGTGTGCCCCCCCCATGCCAGGAGCCTGCCATGTGGGGTGCAGGGGCAGCAGGAGTTGAGTCCAACGCGGCGGCTGGACATCATCGTGGGTGCGGGCGGGAGGAGCCGGGCGGCCCCTGGGGGCGTGGGCACCGTGGGGCGGGCGGGCGGGCGTACCTGTCTGCTGTCGTTCTCCCGGCAGCCCTGCAGCTTGATGAGCGAGCCGGGCGTCCGGTCCACCACCGTGAGGCACAGGTCCATGTGCTTCACCGACTTCTCCTTGGTCAGTGCCCACTCCTGCAACACACGTGTGTCAGCGGGCGCCGGGCCGGGGTGTCTGTGTGTGTGTGTGAACCTGACCAGCCCAGAGCCATCCGATGACTCTATGCCTCAAGGAAGTGGTCGGCAAACTGCAGCCCGCGAGCCACATGTGGCTCTTTTGGCCCTTGAGTGTGGCTCTTCCACAAAATACCACGTGCAGACGCGCACGTACAGTGCGGTTAAAGCTTCATGGCCTATGTGCAGAAGCCGGTTTTCGGCTCTCCAAAGGAATGGGGATATTTGGCTCTGCTGACTCATGAGTTTGCCGACCACTGCCTCAAGCAAGTCTACCACTGGGGGGCATCGGGGAGCCGCAATCGGCACTCGGAGAACCTGACTAAGGGGAACTGTTTTAGCCCTGGAGGGTGGGCAGGGCCTGGTGACCCCACAACCTCTCCTGGCTTCCTTCCTCCTGAGGGGACCTCAGACTCGGGCCGGTCCCTCACACACACACACACACACACACACACACACACCCGCTCCCCGGGGTCCCGGGTAAACCCACCTGGTTGCCCCCGGCGTTGTGACACTCGTACACGCCGACCACGCCGTCGGCAAAGTGGCCCAGCGTGTCCAGGCAGTTGGTGCCCTGCTGCAGGGCGCCGAAGGCGATGTCCTGGTGGTCGGGGACCCTGATGGCAACGGAGACCCGTCCGCTGAGCGCCAGGGACCCCGGCCCACACCCGGCCCGGCAGGAACGAGAAAGGAGGGGGGCCCGGGGCAGGCCCCGCAGCCCCCACCGCATCCGCACTTCTATCCTCACTGAGCACAAACCCCACTTTTTTAATTTTAATTTTTGTTGTTAGTCCTCATCGGGGACATTTTTCCATTGTTTTGAGGGAGAGGGAGAGGGAGGGGAAAACAGAGACATGGATGTGAGAGAGAGATGTCCAATGGTTGCCTCTTGCACGTGCTCTGACCAGGGCCCAGGCTGGGGAGGAGCCTGTAACCGGGGTACCTGCCCTTGACCGGAACCCAACCCGGACCCTTCGGTCTGCAGGCCGACGCTCTGTCCACCGAGCCACGCCGGCCGGGGCACACACCCCGTTCATGGCGAGCGCCTGGCACCTGGCCGCCCCCCGCTGCCCCCCTCGCCCTGTCGGGGAGCCCCAGCCCCAGACCTACCGCAGCTCAGGGTACACGTTCTCCAGGTACCAGCGGAACGGCTTGCAGCTGAGCTGTTTCCGCAGCTCCAGGCGGCTCTGGATGCTGAGGGAGGGGAAGCCAGAGGCTCGCACGCCCGCCCGCCCGGAACGTCCCCCCCCACACACACACACTGGCCCTGAGAGCAAGGCCGGGCAGGCGTGGAGCCGGGATCAGCCCTGTCCCTGGGCCCCGCCCCCCTCCCCCCACGGCCTCCCTGGAGCAGAGAGAGTCCCCCTGGGTCTTCTCACCACCGTCGGTTCTTGGGGTTCAGGCTAGCCCCGCCCCCGCCACACCCTCCCGGGGCCCCGGGGCACGTACTTGCCGAAGGGGACGTTCCGGGCGGAAGGCACGGCGGCGTAGTAGAAGTTCTTGTACTCGTCCATCCACACCTCCGCCGCCCGCCGCGTGTTGCTGGGGACAGAGCGGGTCCCCGTGAGCTGTGGGCGCTCTCCGCCCGACAGCTCGCCTCCGCGCGTCCGCGTGGGGGGCCCCGCGGAAAGGTCCCCGGCCTGGGGGGCCGGCTGGCCCTGATCATACCCACAGGGTGCGGCTGGGCGGGTCTGTGCCCCCGCCCCGTCCACCGTCCCGTCCCCCAGGCTCCGGCCACTCCCCGTCCATCCCCCTGCCCCGTAGGTGTGTCCCGGACCTCCTCCATCTCAGCGCCTGCACCTGCCGTCCTGGGCCCGCAGCCCCCCCTCCCCGCTCCGGGCACCCCCACCACCTCGCGGCCGGGCTGACCGGCGTGCACACAGCTTTATCGTTAGCATCGACAGATTCCCAGGGACAAGCGTGGTCCCTTGCTATTTTTTTCTTTTTTTAGTATATTTTTTTTACAGAGAGGCAGGGAGAGGCATAGAGAGTTAGAAACATCCATCAGCTGCCTCCTGCACATCCCCACTTGGGGATGTGCCCGCAACCAAGGCACATGCCCTTGACCGGAATCGAACCTGGGACCCTTCAGTCCGCAGGCCGACGCCCTACCACTGAGCCACCCCCGGTCAGGGCCGCCTTGCTGTGTTCCTTCGGAACGCGCTCAGGTTGGCGGAAGCAGACCCGCAATCCAGCGTGGGTCATCGCTGCCGGTCACGAGGTCTTTCCGGCTGGCGTGTCCTGCGGCTGGACTGCCGCCTTACCCACATACCGACCCTCGAGGAAGAGTGTACGTTGTCCTCCCTAACCCGGCTCTGCCAGCTTCCCACACGCGTGTGGCTCTCCCTGCCCGGCCCTCGTGCCGCCCCATCGTCACACGTGTCCCAGCCTGACCCCCGGCAAGTCCCCAAACAGTCCTGCAAGTCCCGGGACAACAGGGGACGCAGACCCCTGCCCGGGAGGGGCGCCCGCGGGCTGTGGATGGGCCGCGTCCCCCGTCCCCGATGGGCCCGTCCGGGTGGGGGCTGCAGGGTCCCCGTCCGCTCGGCCTCGGCCTCGCCGCGGCACTCACCGGGCGAAGACGGTGCCGCTGCCGCCCGGGAAGGTGTAGGGGTGCTGCTTGCGGAAGACGTGGCCCACGCGGCTGCAGGGGATGATCTCCAGGCTGCCCCCGCACTGCCACACGCGGAAGGAGATCTCTGCCGGCAGAGGCGGGTGAGCCGGGCGGGGGCTCTGCACACAGCCCCCCGCCCCCAGGGCTCCCTCTCCCCCCCTCGCTGACATCAATGCAAATACATTCAAAAAACACAAAACTACGGCCCGGCCGGTGCGGCTCAGTGGTTGAGCATCGACCTAGGAACCAGGGGGTCAGGGTTCGATTCCCGGTCAGGGCGCAGGCCGGGGTTGTGGGCTCCATCCCCAGGGTGGGGCGTGCAGGAGGCAGCTGGTCCGTGATTCTCTCTCATCATGGATGTTTCTCTCTCTCCCCTCTGGGAGTAAATATGTATTTCACACAAAAAGGCTAAAAGGGAGGCCATTTATACTGATGTGGGGACCAATTGTGTCGGATGAATGGTTTTTTTTTCCAGTCGGCACCCTGCACGCCCGGCGTCCCTTCCAGGCCTCCCTTCGCCGCTTCTGCCCCACGTGGGGGCAGATCCGAACCCGGGTCCCCCAGAACCGGACGCGTGTGGTGGCGGCCGACGGCGGCGCTTACGTACGTACCCAGGTTCTCGCCGCCCCACACGTCCATCATCATGTCGTACTTGCCCAGCTCCTCAAAGTAGGACTTGTCCATCACGAACAGCCCCCCGGCGATCATGGGGGTTCTGGGGACAGGAGGAGAGAGGATAGATAGGTCAAGGCCAGCTCAGCAGCTGTTACATGTGCCTCTACACGTCCAATTGGACAGGCAGCAGCCGGGGCCTCCACCAGGCCCTGCCCTCCTCCTGGTCCCTGAGGTCAACCCCGCGACCTCGCTGGTCCCTGAGGTCAACCCTGCGACCCCGTCAGTCTCAGAGGTCAACGCCCGACCCCACTGGTCCCTGAGGTCAACCCCGTGACCTCGCTGGTCCCTGAGGTCAACCCCGTGACCTCGCTGGTCCTTTGTTAGGAACAGGGGCACCCAGAGCAGGGGCCTGCCTGGCGGGGCCTCATGGGGACAGAGACACCTCCACTGACTGCACCCCGTGCTCTTGGGCAGGTCCCGTGTGAGCTGAGTGGGAGACGTGGGATTTGGGGGGGCAGAGGGGGCAGAGACTTCTCTACGACCGGCACTTACTTGATGGGGGCGACCGGATTGCCCTGCCGGGCGCGCCTCTGCTCGGGCGTCATGTAGTCCCACTTGAACACCAGGTTCCAGTCGAAGCCTGCAGGGCACAGACAGGACACGGCGCTGACGAGAGCCGGCCGCTGGCTCCGTTTCCCCCCCACCTTCCCTCACAAATTAAAATGCCGAGAACACAGGTGAAATGAGAGGAGGAATGGGGGCCCCCGGCGTATCCAGGGACTGGAAGGAGGCGAGGAAAGTGTGGGGTAGTCTGCCCTCTGCCTCCCACACGCCCCAGGGCAGGGGGCAGGGGGCAGGCGGCAGGGGCAGGTTCCCGGGCCTGCAAACATCTCTCTGCAATTTCTCTATTTTATTGATTTTATTTTTTTTTTTACAGAGAGGAAGAGAGAGGGACAGAGAGTTAGAAACCCCGATGAGAGAGAAACACGGACCAGCTGCCTCCTGCACACCCCCCACTGGGGATGTGCCCGCAACCAAGGTCCATGCCCTTGACCGGAATCGAACCTGGGACCCTTCAGTCCGCAGGCCGACGCTCTATCCACTGAGCCACACCGGTCAGGGCTTCCATCTCTCTTTAAAGAAGATCGCTTATGGGTGGGGAAAGAGGAACTCAGGGACCCAGGTCACAGGGACCCCGAGCAGGCCCGGGCCCGGGCGCCACGCAGACAGGGCGGGGGGCAGGCGGGGACCCCGAGCACCTACCCCCTTTTAGGTCCGCGGACGCCCCCACGTACTGGAAGTTGTCCATGTTGATGACATCGATGATGGGCGACACCACGCGGGTCCTGTCCTGGAACAGGCAGACAGGAGCCGGGGTCAGCACCCAGAACCTGGCCCCCCGAGTGGTTCCCGGCCCTCCCTCCCGCCTGCCTCTCCCCTCCCAGGAGAAGGGCTGTGCTGGTGGGGAGGGAAGTGGACAGGCCGGCAGGAGGCAGGAGAAGGGGCGGAGGGCCCGGTGCAGTGCCCGTGGCTATGAGTGTAGATGCCCCACATGTGCCCGTGGCCCCGGACAGGCTCCCCCCATCCGAGGCTGGCACTGGCCTTCCGGGGCCACTGGCGCTCACAGGCACAGGCGGGGTGCCAGGCAGGGTCCTGGGCACACTGCCCTTTGGCTCAGAGAGCGCGTGCAGAGGTGCACGAAGGAAGGTCCCAAGACAAGGTCCTACCCTGCCGGGTTTCCCCCCGGCCCATCCCTGCCCCCAGCTGGCTCTGCTGATGGGTCCAGAAGGCACATCACATGTCACATCCTAGGTCGATGCTCAGCACCGGGGAGAAGCCCACTGCCCGCCTGCCCGCACCTGGCCCCCCGCCCGCATCTCAGCCCCCCGCCCGCCCACGCCTCGGCCCCCCGCCCGCCCGCACCTGGCCCCCCGCCCGCATCTCAGCCCCCCACCCGCCCACGCCTCGGCCCCCCGCCCGCCCGCACCTGGGCCCCCCGCCCGCCCGCACCTCGGCCCCCCGCCCGCCCGCACCTGGGCCCCCCGCCCGCATCTCAGCCCCCCACCCGCCCACGCCTCGGCCCTCTGCCCGCCTGCACCTGGGCCTCCCGCCCGCCCGCACCTGGGCCCCCCACCCGCCCACGCCTCGGCCCCCCGCCCGCACCTCGGCCACCCGCTCCAGCAGCGGCTCCAGCCAGTGCTCGTTGCACTCGCAGTGGCTGTCCAGGAACGTCAGCACCTTGGCCTGGGCGGCGTCAGCGCCCCGGACCCGCGAGCGCATCAGGCCTGCGGGGGAGAGAGCAGACGCACGTCAGGGCGGGCGGGAGGGCGCCTGGGGACAGCCCGCACCGCACCCGCTCCTGCACCCACTCCCACTCCTGCACCCATACCCACACCTGCACCTGCGCCCACACACGGCTCTGCAGCCCCCGCACTGGGATTTGAGCCCGCACGGGGCCTGTGCCCTGACGGGGAATCGAACCGTGACCTCCTGGTTCACGGGTCCCTGGGCCACGCCGGCCGCCGGCCGGGCTGCACCCCCGGGCTCAGGAAGAGTCAGAATCGGTCTCACCTTCTCGCCGGTCGTTTCTGAGGACCCGCACCTTCTCGATTTTCCCCAGGAGCGCCCCGTCCTCCGCTGGGGGAGAGGGGAGGAGAGCGTCAGACCCTCCCGCGTACCGGGGTGCGGCCTGCGGGTTCGGGGGGGGGCCCGGCCCGGCCAGCGGGGGAGGGGGACGCGGCCCGGTACTCACGGTCATTGCTGTAGTCGTCCACCAGGATGATTTCTTTGATGAGCTGGGGTGGGCTCTTCTTCAGCACGCTGATGGGGGAGAGAGACACGGAGCTGCAGGGCTGGGCGGGCGGGAAGTTCTGTCTCTGCCCCCATCCTTGCCGGCCCCTCCTTGTCCTGCACCCTCAGAGACCCGCCTGCAGGCCCGGTCGGCCCCGGCCTGGCTGTGCAGGCGACACAGCCCGCGTGCAGGGTCCCTGGGAGGGACCGCGCCCCCCTCCCCCCCAGGACCCGCAGCAGGCGGGCGACGAGGGGCCTCCCCCCGCTCACCTGACCACCGTCCTGAGCAGGGCGGACCGGGCCTCGTTGTGAAAGGTGATCACTACGCTGGTGGCCGGCAGGTCCTCCCGCCACTGCTTCCGCTGACACCTGAGGGGAGAGAGGTGTGTCCTGTGCACCGGGGACCGGGCCAGCCATGCCAGGCCCCGGTGGGGGGCACGGGCGGGTGGACCCGGCGTAACAGCAAGACGGGAGGCAACGAAAACACGCTCCCGGAACTACGTGTGTTTGTTTGAAATATGTCTGTACGGACTTCAGAGAGGAAGGCGCAGGAAGAGAGAGAAGCATCCAGGATGAGAGAGAAGCACGGACCGGCTGCCTCCTGCACGCCCCACACTGGGGACGGAGCCTGCAACCTGGGCCTGTGCCCTGACCGGGAATCGAACCGTGATCTCCTGGTTCCTAGGTCGATGCTCAGCCACTGAGCCACGCCGGCTGGGCAGGAGCAAGGAAATCCTCGCAACCGAAAAGGTTGGTTTTAGGCGTCTGCACGGCGCGGCTTAACGAACCGCGAGGAAGCGGCCAGTCGCTGTGGGAGGGGAAAAGCACATTCTGGAAGGAATGCCAGTCACGTCCACTATCACAGCGCCCGAGGCAAAGTCTTCAATAGGGGTGTCGAACTCAATCAGAGAAGGGGCCAAAATCTAAAATCCAGCCTAAATCGCGGGCCGAATGGTTTACTGAACAGTCATAAACTGTCATTGTGATGGAAACGCAGCGGAGTGCAGTGATGACAGCGCGGTGCGGGCCACATTGCAAGGCCTGGCGGGACGGATTTGGCCCGCGGGCCTTGTGTTTGACACATGTGGTCTTCAAGGACAAGCAGGCATTTCCTCCCAGCTTCAAGAACCAGCTGACCGGCAGGCGGAGGAAGAATCCCCAAGGCTCAACGGGCGTGTGAATGAACATCATCGCCCCTAGAACGGGGTCTGTGATGTGAAGCCTCCTGCTAGGCCGCTGCCCCGCAGTTAGTCCCTCTCCGCACGGCGGGCGCACAATGGGCGCGCGGTGGGCGCACAGTGGGTACGTAGTGGGCGCGCGGTGGGCGCACAGTGGGCCTGCTGGGCCCAGCAGACACCTCCGTTGAGTCCCCATCCCTGGGAGAATCAGAAGAGGGAGGAGGAAGCCTTTTTCATGCTCACGTCATAGCTTAACCGACCGGATCACTCCCTGTTCTCTCCTTTCCCTTTTCTCCGTGGGAAGCCTGGTCTCCCCGGGGCCTGGGCGGCATTCCTCAGAAGGCACGTCACATGTCACGTCGCTCCGTTAAAATTCCTCCTCGGCCCTAAGGCACCACGTTGTGCCCAGAATTGGCAATCGGGACATGCAGCAGCCATCCATCCCGTTTTTTAAGTAAAAAAAAAACCAAAAAACAAAAAACACACACACACAAAAACCAAAAACACAGGCTCCTGCCCATGCGGTCAGAGGGAGTGTGTGTGTGTGTGTGTGTGTGTGTGTGTGTGTCTGTGCATCTAGGGCCTAAGTCCTCCTCCCTGGGAGCCAAGCGAGGAAGACAGGGCTTGGAGAATTCCTTCAAAAGAAACAATAAATCTTACGTCTAAAGAGCCACATCCGTGCCAAGCGGTGTTGACGGCCCAGAGCCAGTGAGAGACGCCAAACACAGTCATTCGGGGCGGGGTGGGGGGGCAGGCAGGAGGGGGGCTGGCAACCGGGACTTTCCGACTTTCCTCGCTGGGAGCTGGTCTCAGTCAGCAGAGGAGGCGTGTGCAGGAGCGCGATGCTGAGGACAGCTCGGGCTGCGGGGTCAAGTTCACCCCCTTTTCCGAGGCTTTGGTACGGCAGTGGCCACGCTGGTAACGTCTTGTCCAGCAGAACGAAGCTTGGATAAGCTGGGCACACAATGTGTGTGGTTTTTTTAACCCTTAATTAAGTTTTAAATTCCCCCAAGAGCACAGGCCAGCAATATCTGAACTCTCGTCTGGATGGGAAACGGGCCCATCTCCATGGCAACGTGGAAAGACCCTGGGGTGGACTCAGACCCCACGAGCTAATCACCTGTGTGTCTTTGGACTGGGGAGCGGGGGCTGCCCGGCCAGCAGGGGTCAGAGGTTGAGGGTCGACCTAGGAACCAGGAGGTCACGGTTCGGTTCCTGGTCAGGGCACAGGCCCGGGTTGTGGTCTTGATCTGCAGTGTGGGGCGTGCAGGAGGCAACTGATCCGTGATTCTCTCTCATCACTGATGTCTGTCTGTCTGTCTGTCTGTCTCTCTCTCCCCCTTTTCCTTTCCTCTCTGGAATCAATAAAACTGGAAAGGTCTCCATGACTCTAACACAGGTGACAACACGCATGTGGCTGTGTGTTCCCCATGACGGCCGTCACCAAGTCAGAGTGAAACTCTCTCTAGTCCCCCAAGGCTGCGGCCATTGGATGGGCTGAGACACGCTTCCATCCACACACACACACACACGCACACACACGCACACGCTTCCATACACACACACACACACGCACACACACACGCGCGCACACACACACACAGACACACACACACACGGGTCCGAGCGGAGGGCGTCTCGGTCACTGCCAGGGCGGGACGCTGCTGGGTTTGCAGAAAGAGCGCACGTGATGGTGGGCGAGGGGAGCGGAGAGGCACACGCTTCCATAAGAGAGAGTTCCAGAACCAGAGCCTGACCACAGAGCAAGACCACACTTCCTGCCTGAGCCGCAGTGGCCGGCCGAGGCCCCGGGAGGCAGAGCCGGACAAACACGCTCTCCCCCGACACGCCCTCCTCACGAGCCAGGGCGTGGGATTGGCCGTGAAGGTGTCTGATATGCAAATACACACTCATGTCACATACGTGAGCGAGTTTCTCCACATGACACGCGGGAAGCGGCGGGTCCCAGATCAGGCAAGCCCCCACAGCCGTGTCTCGGTGCCTCGCCCACCTCAAGGACAGGGGGTCACACTGCTCCCCGTTCTTCCACCGGGCCTGTGCCCTGACCGGAACCGAACCCTGACCTCCTGGCTCCAGAGGCCAATGCTCCGCCCCTGAGCCACCCCAGGGCTCCTTCCTTCTGCTTCTGATGTGTGTTTGCCCTGCAGGCTCCTCTCCGCCTTCCTGAGCCTGGGGCTCCGTCTTCCAACCAAACCAGCGGCTTTTGATCTGATCCACTTCATAGAGACACAAGGGCAGTTCTGTGCTCAACCTCGGGTGTGTGTGTGTGTGTGTGTGTGTGTGTGTGTACAAAATGCGGACAAGGGCCCTGAGGTGCAGTGATTAGCTGCCAACTCCAAGCGTGACGTGGCTTTCCCCCATCCAGTGCCAAGGTGCACGCCCAGGGCCGGGCTGGGCGACGGGCTGGCAAAGGGCGCCCTGGGGCCACTCCGACTCCGTCTCCCTGGCAAACCCAGGTCCTGGCGGGTGCCAGGCTCCATGCGCCCCTCAGGCCAGGGGAGGCGGCTCAGGTGGGAGGCTGGGAGGTTTCAAACACCGTGAGAACCCGTGTACGTAGGTCCTGTCGGCCCCGGCTCCCCTGTCCCTTGCGGGTGCCCAGGGGTGTGTGCACAGCGGGTGCTGACACTCAGGGTGCCCCAGGGACATACCCTGTACCCCGGAAATACCCGAGGGCCTAACCGCGTACCTGTTAGGGACCATACGGTCAGCCACCAGTCAGCGCCCGCCAAGGGCCCTGAGCCCCATCCTTCCCTCATTCCTCCCCTCGAAAGGGGGGCTCCCGTCTGCCAGGGCCGCTGTTCTCCCCTCGAGAGACAGCCCGGCAGGCCTCTCCCCTAACAGAGCCTGTGTCACCCGTTTTCGGCTCCAGGCTGATCTTTCAGCCACCGGGAAAACCCCCCCAGCTGCCGAGGGAAACCAGCACACCGGAACGTCTGCCAACGTCGCAATAAAGTGAGAGCAGAAAGAAGAAGAGACTTCAGTTTAGACAAGACAAAGTAAAAAAAATTAAAAGAAAAAGACCCATTTCCTGCCATTCTGCAACTCTCTTCCACATAAACATAGCATTAAGAAGGAAACCAAAAGCCCAATTCCAGACGGATGAGACAGAGAGTATTTTGGTGATTTAGAAGTGGGCTGGAAGATAAAAATCACAGCGCTGCACTCAGAAACCAATTCAATCAGCATACAGTACACATTACATCCTGTTGAGAGGGAGAGGGGGATGAGAACATGATCCGAGCTCTTAAATCTCTCTCGACAGCGTGTCCCCGACAAAATGCGTGCGTGTACACACACACACACACACACACACACACACACACACGGCAGCCAGCTCAATTCTGACAATGAAATGTATTTTAATCAAAACCGCCTTTAGAATTGTTCAAAGTGTGTGTATGCATTTGTTTTGTGTGTGTGTGTGTGGAGGGGGGGAGAGGCACTTTATTTGTTCATTCACAGTGAGATACAACAGAAATAAAGAATACCATAAGTGGACTGAAAAGCAGAATAGATATATTCAAGATAGAGAAGCGGGTCTGGGAACAGAAGGAAGGCCAATAGGATTGCAACTAGATCATAGCACAGGGACTCACCAATTCGCTTAAAACACAGAGAGCATGAGAGGGACGGGGGAGACACAGGGACACCCCCGACGAAGTTGCAATTAGGGGCCCAAAGGGAGAAGGGAGAGAAAGCGGGGTGATGCTGACGACTCAGAAACTCCTGCAAACCCCAAACAGCTCCCATATAAAAAATAAAACAAAACAGAAATCCAGGCACGTCGCCGACACGCTGCTGGAAACCGGAGGGAAAGAGAAACGCCTTGAAGGCAGCGGAGGAAAAGGCCAATAAGATCAGGCTGATATTTCACCGGAGCGGGGGCAGCAGGAGACAGCGGCACGGCAGTGAGAAGACCCTCCAGGAGCGATCGCGGAATAAAGATGTGTTCAGACGGGAAGAAGAAAAAAGAGCCCTGAACTGGCCGCCGGCAAACTGTCACTGATGGAGACGTGCTCAGACGGCGGACGGGGGAAGCGGCCGCAGGTGGGGCGCGGAAACATAAACATGCGGACAGATCTGAGCCCTGCGGACGGCAGGAGGCCGTGAAATCGGCCCCGTGGAATTCACACGTCAACCGTATGACGCACAAGCGTCAGGGCAGGGGGGGGGGCGTGGGTGGAGGGCGGAGTGCTGGGTCTGCGCCTTATAAGGGAAATAGCACGAGTGCTCACTGATGGGAGACCCTGATATGCCAGGAATGCAACCAGCCCGACACAGGGGCAATACTTAATCCAGAAGAGACAGGAAGAGGAGCACGAAACAGCGAGAGGCTGGTGTTAAACCCAAAGACACCGCCCGTACCTGCAGGGCGCAGCGGCCGGCATTCACCTGCTTACGTGCTGCTGAGAAGCCGACGGACAAGGGGAGGCGGGCTGAGCACGTGTAGGAGACACCGCTTTCCTCAGCAAAAGGAGAAGTGAGAACAAGGCCCTGGGCCCCCCGAAATGAGACCCCTCGCAGCGCCCACTAACGCAGAGCAGAAGCCCCCTCCCAAGCCGGCTGAGTTTCTTTCCGTTTGCCTGTTAATCCTCACCCAAAGTTATCTTTCTGTGGATTTTTTTAGAGAGAGTGGAGGGAGGAGGAGAGAGAGAGAGAGAAACATCAATGTGAGAGAAGACTCATCGACGGGTTGCCTCCTGCACAAGCCCTGACGAGGGCTGGGGGTCGAGCCCGCAACAGAGGTATGTGCCCTTGACCAGCATCAAACTGGGGGCCCTATCCACTGAGCCACCGCGGCCAGGGCCTGAGTCTGCTGTTTTCGCCGATTCCATTCCCCTAAAAAGAAGACTCCGAGTCCCATAATCACTGCCTTCCAACCCAGGCACCCGTCCCTCCGCGGGGCTGCGTTTATGCTAACTTTCTCGTTGGCCTCGGCAATGTTTATCCTTCCTGCGTGCCGAGGAGGAGCTGGCCGTGTCCTTCCCCACAGCCCTTAATCCCGCTCCCCCCCTTTTCAAACAGCTGACGTCAGCCCTGCCCTTCTGCCCAGGCTCCGCGGCGCAGCCCGGGTCTGAAATGCCGGCCCTCGAGCTGGAATTTTGTTAAAAAAATAAATAAATAGAAAACAACAGAGAGAGGCCCCAGCCAGTTTGGCTCAGTGGGTAGAGCGTTGGCCTGGGGACTGAAGGGTCCTGGGTTCCATTCCGGTTAAGGGCACAGGCCCAGGTTGTGGGCTCGATCCCCAGTGTGGGGCGTACAAGAGGCAGGGGATCCGTGATTCTCTCTCATCACTGATGTTTCTATCTCTCCCTCTCCCTTCCTCTGTGTAAAAAGTCAATTAAACATATTAAAGTTTTTAAAAAGAACAGCACACCACCGGCAACAGGACAAGCTACAGCAGGGCCACCCGCCTTTAAACCTAAACCGAGCGGAGACACGGGACTCCCGCCGCCTCACGGGGCTGGAACCGAGCCGTGTTCCCGGCACCAGCAGGGGTCCTGCGCCCCCCTCAGCTGGGACCTCACCCCGCTCCGGAGTGTGGGCCAGGCCCCTCCTCACACCCACATGGGCCCTTTCTGCCCACTTCCCCTCCCCTGGGGTTCAGGTCCACCGGGACGGCCCCATGAAGACACCACTGCGGTCAGCACCGCTGCCGGAGAACGCCCGCCGGGCCAGGCCACACACACACACACACACACACACCCCGTGTACTCACTGGTCGTGCCGGGTGTCGGGGATGGCTCTGTCCATGCGCAGCTTGTCGCTCTCCACCTGGTTGAACTTGTTGCGGGCGTAAGGGTCCTGCCCCGAGCGGACCATGGTCCCCGCCACGTACGCCTCCTGGTTGAAGTCTCGCCACCGCACTTTGCCTGTGGGGAGTGGAGAGGGCGTGGGACGGGGCACGGAGACCGGCGTGAGGGCGCCCCCCATCCCCGGGGCAGTGCCAGGTCCAGAATCACCACCCACGTGGCTCCGCGGCTGAGCTTCGGCCTAGGAACCAGAAGGTCAGGGTTCGGTTCCCCATCAGGGCCCGGGCCCGGGCTGCGGGCTCCATCCCCAGGGTGGGGGCGTGCAGGAGGCCACCGATCTACAATTCTCCCTCATCATGGATGTTTCTCTCTCTCCCTCTCCCTCTCCCCTCCTCTCTGAAATCAATAAAAATATATTTTAAACACACATAAAGATTTTTTTCAAAGAAATGGGGAAAAATAGTTATAAAGAACCATTGAACAGACTGTCAAACTATAATATAGCGGAAATGCAAGGGAGATTGGGGGGGGGTGGCTGTAAGAGATCAACTGATATATGGTTTGGCTCAGTGGTAGAGCGTCGGCCTGCGAACTGAAGGGTCCCAGGTTCGATTCCGGTCAAGGGCATGTGCATTGGTTGCGGGCACATCCCCGGTAGGGGGTGTGCAGGAGGCAGCTGGTCGGTGTTTCTCTCTCATGGACGTTTCTAGCTCTCTATCCCTCTCCCTTCCTCTCTGTAAAAAAATCAATAAAATATATTTTAATAAATAAGTAAGTAAATAAATAAATGATGGTGCAAATTTATGAAGATGAACCTTACGAGGATGAACACCACCAGACACATGGACACCCAGGCGCTCAGGCACACACACGTGGCTCTCGGGTTAAAGACCTCATGGGCGCTGACAGGTGCCCCTCGGGAGACCCCTGGTCACACACCGGCCTCCACCCGCAGGTGGACGGGGCCAGGGAAAGGCCTGTCGGGGCGGGTCCCACGGGGCCGGGCGGCAGGAGACTCTCCATCCTGCCCCGGCCTCACCCCTGAGCCGCCAGCCTCCACGCCAGCCCTCGTGGGAAGACGGGCTTAACGAACTGCCAGCCCCGTGCGCCGGGAGCAGCCGGCCTGGGCACGGGGCCAGGAAGAAAAGGAGAATGTATTTTAAATCAAAGGACAAAGCTCGGCGATGTATTTATGGCCTCCTGGGTGGCATCCAATTGAATGCCATTTCACTCTGCTTAAAAGGGGGGAAATAAAAAATAAAAAAACCGCCGATATTCTCCCTCTGAAAGGTGGTGACGCTGCAGCGGGAGGGAGACGCCGGGATTACAGACGAACACGTCCATTTACATGCCGGGTCACGTGTCACTGGGGTAGCGGGCGAGACGGGGAGCTTTGCTCGCCCGTGAGAAACTGTCCTGTGAAAGAAGGACTCCTGCCCCATTCTTTTCTTTTTCTTTCTTTCTTCTTTCTTTCTTTCTTTCTTTCTTTCTTTCTTTCTTTCTTTCTATCTATCTTTCTTTTTTAATTGTCATCTGAGGATGTGTTTCCATTGGTTTTTATTTAGAGAGAGTGAAAGGAAGGGAGGAGGGGAGGAGAGAGAGAAATGTGGATGAGAGAGACAGACAGAGAGAGGGGGGGACATGGACTGGTTGCCTCGCGTGCGTCCCCTGACCCTGGGGCAGGGGATGGAGCCTGCAACCGAGGTACACGGCGCCCTGGACTGGGAATCGAACCCGGGACCTGGCCGCGGGCGGTCGTACCTGGGGGCAGGGTCTCCACGCTCTGGGCCTTCTCGTCGCCGTTGCTGTGGTGCAGGTCCTTCTTCTTCACCGGGTCGATGTCGTTCCAGTCGTCCTGGCAGGACAGAGACCCTGTGAGGCCCGGCTCCCGAGCACACCTCCACTCTCCAGGCCCCCACGGCCCCCACGCACGGCGTCTGGGAGCCCCAGGGACGCGATCAGGAGACGCACCCCGTCTCACCTCCTCCACGCCCGGGTCCTGCACCCCGAGCGCCTCTCAGCGGGGAGAGGTGCAGGGGAGAGAGCGGGACGAAGCTTCTCTGAGGGAGGATTTGCAGTTCCCCGCTCATTTTATTATGTTCTTAAAGGTTTTGTTGTTGTTGTTGCTTTAAATGTATTTTTATTGATGTCAGAGAGGAAGTGGGGGGGGGGGGAGAGAGAGAGAGAGAGAGAGAGAGAGAGAGAGAGAGAGAGAGAGAGAAATATCCATGATGAGAGAGAATCACGGGTCGGCTGCCTCCTGCACACCCCCCACTGGGGATCGATCCCGAAACCTGGGCCTGTGCCCTGACCGGGAATCGAACCTGGGACCCTTCAGCCCGCAGGCCAACGCTCTACCCACAGAGCCACACCAGCCTGGGCCCGAGGCTCTTGCTAGAGGCCACGCCCACCGTGGGAAAGCTGCAGGGGGGGATCGGAGAACCCCTCAAGAGGCGTGGACCGAGGAAGATTGCGCCCCATGGGAGGAAGGTCCCACGGCCCCATAACTTCCAGCTCGTCGTGCCGGGCGGCTGGGCTTCTGACAGCCTGAACAGTGACAGGCTGGGGACACACACACACACACACACACACGCACACGCACACGCACACGCACACACCCGCTGCCGGTTCCCAGAGTCACACCCGGCAGACACTCCGATCACACAGCCCTTTCCAAAGCCCCGGCCTCCGCGAGCGAAGCAGACAGAGACACATTCTTCTCTCGAAGAATGGGGAAAGCCGCCCTCTCTGGGCCCGGGCCAGACAGACGGCCCCGCAGACAGGAGACGCGGGGAAGGGGCTGGCCCCTCGGCCTTTGTCAGCCTATCGTGCGGGCAGACTGCGATGCAGGAAGAGCGGTGATAAGGGCCGGTGAGGGGGCGGGCGGCGGTCCCAGGGGCCGTGGCCTCCAGCCGGCGCTGTGGGGGGGCTGTGGGGGGGGACGGGGAGAACAATGGCTGCATGCATCTCACGGAGAGGGGAGTGGGGAGCGGGGAGCGGGGAGCGGGCCGGGGGCCAGGAGGCTGAGCTCACTGTCTGACAAAGGAGACCCCGGGCAGGGGCGATGGAGAGGAAGCCGGGTGGGGCCCGAGGGCCCCTGAGGAGACTGGGTGCCGGTGACCTCAGAGCAACGCTGGGCGCTCTCTGCCCACGGGTTGTCAGGGGGACTGGGTTCCCAGGCAGAGAGGATTATGGGAATGTTTTCTCTCTGGTTCCCAAACAGTCATAGTGGTGGTGGTGGTGGTGGTGGAGGAGGAGGAGGAGGAGCAGGAGGAGGGGGAGTAGGAAGAGGAGGAGGAGGAAGTAGAAGAAGAAGAAACCTTACAGTGCTAAGAACGAGCCTTCAGAACTCATTGTTTCAGGCCACTCAGTGCGGCTCAGGGGTTGAGCGCTGACCTATGAACCAGGAAGTCACAGTTTGATTCCCGTTCAGGGCATAAGCTCAGGTTGCGGGACCATCCCCACTGTGGGTGGTGCAGGAGGCAGCCAATCCAGGATTCTCATCATAGATGTTTCTCTCTCTCTCTCTGTTTCTGTCTCTCTGTTTCTTTCTCTCCCCCTCCCTCCCTCCCTCCTTCCCTCCCTTCCTCTCTGAATCAATATTAAGAATACATTGGGGAAAGAAAAGCGATTTGGTTGATGTCAGATGTCAGCTGGCTGTGTCTGGAAGGCCGAGGAAGGAAGAAAGGAGGGAGAAGCGAGGTCACCTCGGGGTGAGACAGGGCGCACCTCCCCTCCGATCCCGGCAGGGCCCCGCGGCCCCTTCTGCACGCTGCTCCTGGCAACGGGCTCAGCGTGACCACGAGGACTTTGGTTTGTTTCACCCAAACCTCTGGTTCCTAGGTCGACGCTCAGCCACGGAGCCACGCCGGCCGGGCCTGATTCTGCATTTTACCAGGGAGAACGCCGAAGCGGCACAGACCCTTCCGGGTGGCCCAGGGCCCCCGGGGGCCAGGGGCTGCCGGCGGGGGAGACGCCTGCCCGGGGCTGCTGGTCCCTCAGCTCCGACACGCCGGCAGGAAGCAGACGGGTGGGTTTCTCTCCCCAAATAGCACACGGGCTGCTGTGGGGGAAGGAGAGCGAGCACTCGCTCGGGAAACACGCGCAGCACGCCTGCAGTCAGAGCGTGGCTCCGAGCCGTGACAGCATCGTCTATTCTGAGCACGAGAGGCGTTTGCCAATTCCTAACGAGCCAATGAGAAGCAGACTGCAGGCCGACAGCAAGCTCATCGCGGAATTATGAGTGCGCCCAAAATACCCTGCGTTCCTTATGTGTGCGGCCACGGAGTGCGGGCCGTGGCATGTGGCTATGGAGTGTGTCCACGGAGGGTGGGGGCCGTGGCGTGGGGCCACGGAGTGCGGGCCGTGGCATGTGGCTATGGAATGTGGGCCATGTTTGTGTGGCCACATGGCGTGTGGCCACGGAGTGTGGGCCGTGGCACAGGCGTACTGCTGACCTTGACACTCTCCGTGACTCTGGTACCCAGAACAGGCCCAGCTGAACGACCTTCCGGATGAACTTCTGGACGAAGCCAGGGCTGCAAGGGCCGAGCCCCTTGTGTGAATTTCGTGCACGGGGCGTCTGGTAGACAATAAAGTCATGTCAGTCACAGGCCAGACTGACATTTCAAGTCCTATCTCTGGGGGAACCTCACACGGCCCTGGGCACCGAGGCGGGGCCCATGGGGCCCAATCAGCCATGCAGGCCGTGTGTGATGGGCTGAGGCCATGGCCGCTGGGAAGAAACTTACTGAAGATTGTGCATGTATGTGTGTGCACGTGCACGCGTGTGTATGTACACGTGTGTGCGTTGGTGCGCGGGTGTGTGTCATGTGTGCACACACGTGCATGTGCGTGTGAGGGAGGGAGAGGGAAACCGTCTCCCAGGGGCCTGGGAAAGAGAGGGCCGTGAGTCATCGCGGGGAAGGGCGAGTGAGAGGTCGGGACCATTTCCACGTCTGGCTCTGGGCCAGGCGGCCTGGACTGTGCGGTCCAGCCGGGCCTACGGGGAGAGGCGCGCGGATCCGTGCACACATGGCACAGCACGGGACACACGGGCGGAGCTGAGCTCCAGGGGACACGCCCAAGGCAGGACCCTCCTCCTTCCCAGGAAAAGTCCCGGTTGGTCGGTCATCGGTCAGGGCTGATCTGGCATGGCCACGGCCCCCAGGCAGGCCAAGCCCCAACACCCCCAGGGCAGTTTCTGAGCAGCAGCCCCAGGACCACCTCACACCTGGACCACCCCACACCCTGGACCATGGACTGGCCGCCTCCCACACGCCCCACACTGGGCCCGAGCCACAGCCCGGGCACATGCCCTGACTGGGAGTCAAACCCGGGACCCTCCAGTCCGCAGGCTGATGCCCTCTCCACTGAGCCAAACCCTGACCGATCCGTCCTCTGAGCCTGCCGTTGCCAACCCCCGTTTGGAAAAGGGGGAGCTGCCGGCATCCTGGGTGGCAGTTCCCAAGGCGGCTGTGCCTCAGCCCAGCCACGCCCGGCGCTGGGCGGCCCCTGGACCCTCATCAGCTCCTGAGCGTGAGGACCAAGGACCGGTGGCTGCTTGGGGCTCCCTCCCTGCCCCCCCAGGCCCCCTCCTCCCGGCTCTGCCACGTTCAACCACATTTTGAAGCCACAGGGGGCATTGGGTGGAACCCGTGGCTGGTGAATCATGCATTCCGGGTTTTGCCCATGAGGGAAGGAGCCAAGGTGGGCGGGAGCCCGGAGCAGCGCCCCCCACTGGCTCCCCCCCGCCTTTGCATTTATTTCACGACTCAAGGCAGGGACTGTAAAAGCTTCCAGTTCCAAAGCTACGGAGCCTGGACCTTCAGCTACAATGACAGCCTGACAGCCACCGCCCTCTGGGGCCGCACAGCCGGTTCTGATAACTATTCCAGAGAGAGAGAGAGAGAGAGAGAGAGAGAGAGAGAGATCGGAGGATTGCTGACTGGGAAGGGGTGGGTCTACACCAGCTAACTTGGTCCAAGGTAGAGGCCCACATTGTGTACACTGCCATGGGGCATTTGTGGCAACGACGTGGACTCCACGGGGGGGCCCACGCAGGAACGCGGGTCCCATGGGAGGGCAGCACAGCTCCCGGCGCCAGAGACGCTGCAGAACACGTGGCCTCGAGCCCCAAGACCCCACCAGACACCCTGCAGGCCACGTGCATGCAAAAGAGTGAGCGTGAAACGTCTGAAACTTCTGGAAGGACGACCTTATTCTGGAAGCTCTCGACTATCAACATCCACTTCCCCAGAAGCAGACGAGAAAAGCAGGCATGCATCCTGGTTATCAACGACTACACACCTTCTTACAAGGCACACGCTCCTGTTCCCTCAAGTTTAACCCTGGGACCAAAGTAGAATCAGTATTATCCGTTTGACAGAGGCCAACCCTACAGACTCAGAAGGATAGGTGGCGTGAAACGGTAACGATACAATGTATCGTGGATACACGCCTATAGGTTGCCCTAACGGGTTGAGTATTAATGATACAACGTATCATTGATACATGACTATATGTTGCCCTAACCGGGTCAAGTGGTAACGATACAATGTATAGCTGATACATGACTATATAATATTACCCTAAGTGGCGAAGTGTTAACGATACAATGTATAGTTGATACATGACTATAGACTGCCCTAACCCAGTGGTCGGCAAACTCATTAGTCCCCAGAGCCAAATATCAACTGTGCAACGATGGGCATGTCTTTGGAGAGCCACGTTTTTTAAAACATAAACTTCTAACGCCATTTCTTCCACACAGACGGCTGTGGGGGCGTGGGGGAGGGGCAGACCCAGGGGGCGCCGGGGAGAAGGGGCCACGGCTCCGGTCTCCGGGGAGCCTGGAGCAGGAGCCCTCAGGAGCCCAGGTCAGCCACAACCTAACGAGGCCGGCGGTGCCCCGGGAATCCGTCCTGCTGAGCCATCAGGGACGTGGGTGAATCAGCCGGGATCCGATTTCCAGACGGCAGACACTCCCGCCCCGAGCTTTTGAATGCGGAGGTTTTGGTGCCCATTGTGAACCTTTCTGGCCACAGAAAGGACACAAAAGAGACGCTAAGGAATCATGGGGGCAGCCTGAGCAGGGAGCGGCCACTGCCCTCCCCCTTTCCCCCAGGATTGAGGGGCAGAGGGACAATGATGCTGAGTTACCTAACCCAATGAGCTCAGAGGAACTCAGGGGCCCCGCCTCTGGCCCCGTCACCGTCCCCGCTTCGCCCCGCCAGCGGGCAGGGTCCCGGCTGGGGCATCCCAGGGCGGCGTCTGGGAGGCTGGCGCCCAGACGGTGGTTGCAGGCTGGGCGGTTTGGAAAACAAGGCTCCGCCAGGACCCTGGGGAGCGGGATGATTGTGGGCACAGAGATACGCCCTGAGGTGGGCCAGCCGAGGCCACTGCGGTCCCGAAGCTTCCTTCTCCCGCAGCCCGCCTCACGCATGGACTCCTGACATTCCGTCCCCAGCAGCTCCGGGAGCAGGGCGAGCGAGCGTGCCCCGGCAGGCCAGGCCTCCGCCGGGGACCACGCACGAGGCCGGCAGGGGCCGTGCCAGACGCCGCCCCGACCTGCCCCGGCAGGAGCAAGCCGTCCGGGCACCGGCCCGGCGCAGCGCATACCTTCCTGTCTGGGACGGGTGGCCCGTGTGCTGACCTCCGCAGAACCCGTGTGCCGTGCTAAGGGCACGGGAGGAGGGAGGGCGTGTGTGCCCGTGTGCACACGTGTACGTGTCTGCGGCTGCAGACAAGAATAGATATTCCAGCCCGGCTGGTGCCGCTCAGTGGCTGAACATGGACCTGGGAACCAGGAGGTCAGGGTTCGATCCCTGATCAGGGCATGTGCCCGGGTTGCAGGCTCCTCCCCGGCCCCGGCCCTGGTCGGGGCTCATGCTGGAGGGCTTTGTGTTTCTCTCACATCGATGTGTCTCGGTCTTTCCCTCCCCCTTCCACGCTCTCTAAAAATCAACAGAACAATATCCCCAGGTGAGGAATTAAAAGGGGGACCTTCCCAGGACCATGACGACTCCACAAGGCCCGAGAGAGGGACACAGGCCACAGGGAAGGGGAGCCTCGCTCTCCCCCCTCCCCCCAGGACCTCCGCACCTGATCCGTGCCCCTCCGGCTGCCCGGCCTCAGGCCTGGAGCTCAGACCACCCAAGAGCCCAGACGGGGCCCCTTCTGGCCCCCCTCCGGCAGCAGTAATGAAGGCCCAGCCCGTAATCAGCACCTTCCAGGCCTGAAGCTGCCGCTCAGCGTCAGCAACGGAGGAACCTGCCATTTGTAACCTGCCGGTGACTCAGGGACCGGGGCCCCAGAGCCGGCCGAGGACGCAGGGAGACGGATCCATCCCAGTCTGCGTCACTCCCAAAAGACCCGTGGGCATGTGAACAGCACTGGGGGCCCGGGGACACTGTGGCTACGGGAGGTTCTGATGTGGCTCAGTGGACAGCGCTGTGTTTATATCCCCGGCTAATATGCAAACTGTCCCCTCAACCAGGAATTCAACTGGGAGTTCGGCCCAGGGGCAGGCCTGGTTGGCCAATCACCCGCAGCCCCTGCCCCTGGCCACCCCGGCCCCTGATTGGCCCTCCCCCAGCCAGATCGGGGACAGCCCCTCCCCCACCCATCAGCCCTGATAGGGGGTGGGCGGGCCAGATCCCACCGATGCACGAATTTGTGCACCAGGCCTCTATTTATAAAATCACAGAGGTGGTTCAGTGGGTAGAGCATCTACCCTGTGACCTGGAGGCTGTGACCTGGAGGCCCTATGACCTGGAGGCTGTGACCTGGAGGCCCTGTGACCTGGAGGCCCTGTGACCCGGAGGCTGTGACCTGGAGGCTGTGACCTGGAGGCTGTGACCTGGAGGCCCTGTGACCCAGAGTCTGTGACCTGGAGGCCCTGTGACCTGGAGGCTGTGACCTGGAGGCTGTGACCCGGAGGCTGTGACCTGGAGGCCCTGTGACCCAGAGGCTGTGACCCAGAGGCTGTGACCTGGAGGCTGTGACCTGGAGGCCCTGTGACCTGGAGGCTGTGACCTGGAGGGGCTGTGACCCGGAGGCTGTGACCCAGAGGCTGTGACCTGGAGGCTGTGACCTGGAGGCCCTGTGACCTGGAGTCTGTGACCCGGAGGCTGTGACCTGGAGGGGCTGTGACCCGGAGGCTGTGACCCGGAGGCTGTGACCCGGAGTAGCATGGGAAATGAAACACACGCTGTCGGAGGTCTGGGAGGCGGGGCGTGGGAAGTGGCAGTCCTCCCGGGTCTCGGGTGTCGGCCTCCAGCCGCCCTGCACAGGAGCGGCCGGCGTTTATGAGGGTCATTAGACACTTTATGGGGCACTTTATGGGGTCAGGGGCCTGCCGCCCGCGGGCTTCTGGGCCGAACAGCTGGATCGTGACAGGGAGGCCCGAGGGGAAAGGGGATGGGGAAGACCCGCAGCCCCCAGGGCAGCTGCTGGAGTTCGGCCAGGGCTCCGGGGGCGCCGGGGGAGCGAGCTTTGGGCGTCCGGAGCGGAGGCTGCTCTGGGCGGCGACACACACGCCTCAGAGGAAGGTCCGTCTGAGCCGCGGGCCCTGGGAGGGCGTGGCGGGCGGGGGCAAGTCAAAGGCCAAGGGAGGCCCTCTGTCGTCATGCTCAGGAAGTGGGAGCTCTGTGTCGGGGGGTGGCATGGCTGCCCTGGGTGAGGAGCTGGCACAGGCGCCCTGGGTCCTGTTGCCTGGGTCCTTCCTGCCTCCAGGCCTTTCCCAGTGACCTTGATTTTGAGCGTTAGCTCTGTGACCTGCAAAAGGCTGACCCCTTTTCTCTCTTCCCTCTTCCCACTCTCGTCCCTTCCCATTCCCAAGCCAGTCAGCTCACCCACTCGTTTCGCTTCCTGTTACTGATGATCACTGATCTGGTGTCTGGAATCTGCCTTACTTTGAGAGCGAGAGGAAGGGAGCGAGCTGGGGAAAGTGCGCGGAGAGCTTGCTCCCAGCAGGGGCAGGTCCCAGGAGGGCAGGTGTTTGCAGGGAGAGGCCCTAGGGGCCCCAGTCTGCAGGGGTAGGTTCCGGTCTGCAGGGGGAGGTTCCGGTCTGCAGGGGGAGGTCCCGGTCTGCAGGGGGAGGCCTCAGTCTGCAGGGGAAGGTTCCGGTCTGCAGGGGGAGGCCCAGGTCTGCAGAAGAAGGTTCCGGTCTGCAGGGGGAGGCCCCGGTCTGCAGGGGGCAGTCCCGGTCTGCAGGGGGAGGCCCCAGTCTGTGGTCAGACTTCAGTCTGTAGTGGGAGGTGGGGGGAAGGAGGGAAGGGTGAGGGAGGATGGGTGCCCTGCATACACAGATGAGTACACACACACAGCACCCAGGACCCTGCGTGGATAAGGAGTTTCCCAAGGATGGGGAGACTCCGCCCCTGCCAAGCCAAAGGCAGCAGCAGCCTCCGGGAGAGAGAACCGGCTCCTGCGTTTGGCAAAGGAAACGGAGGCGCGTGGCGGCCACCAGGAGGCAGGCAGGCTGCCAGGAGGGGCGAGGTCTGAAGGCAGAAAGGTGGCACAGGAAGAGCCTGGTACCTCCACACCCCGCCCCTCCTGCAGGGCGGGCCCGGGGCCTAAGGTCACAACCCTCGGCCACCCCTTGAAGACAGCAAGGCCAAGTTCCACTCCGAGGCGAGGACAGACATGCAGGGCACTCTCGCTGGAACCCGCCGGGAGGGCTTTCTGCGGCCGTGCCAAGAGGTCCTCCCCAGAAAACCACCCGACGAGGCAGCCTGGAGGCGGGATCCAGGACCGCAGCCCGGACGGAGGACCGCCTGGGTCAGGGGTCGGCAAACTCCTGAGTCCACGGAGCCAACTGTCAACAGCACAGCGATGGACATGTCTCTGGAGAGCCACATGGTTTAAACGTGAACGTCTTCTAATTTCACTTCTTCCACACAGACTCGCCCGGGCCGTGGTGTTTTGGGGAAGAGCCACCCTCCAGGGGCCCAAGAGCCGCCTGTGGCTTTCCAGCCGCAGTTTGCCAACCGCGGGCCTGGAGCAACGGACAGCGATCTCTCAGGTCATGGTGGGGAGACCCACACCTCACCCCTTCCGTCCCCTCCAGTCACCCAGGGACACTCAGCACACGTGGGCACGGAGCCGGGCCTCAGAGCCGCCTGGTGGCAGGCTCCATCCAACTCGCTAGGAGTTAGGCCCACAGCTTTGAAATCAGCTGCCTCTCAGACCGACTTCCTTCTCCCCAAAGACCTGAGACAGCTGGCGTGGCTCAGGGGTTAAGCATCGATCTAGGAACCAGGTGGTCAGGGTTCGATTCCCGGTCAGGGCACAGGCCCGGGTTTTGGGCTCGATCCCCAGTAGGAGGCAGCCGATCCATGATTCTCTCTCATCATTTGTATTTCTCTCCCTCCCTCTCCCTTTCTCTCTCCATTTTCCTTCCTCTCTGAAGTCAATCCTATATAATAAAAGGCTAATATGCAAATTGTCCCCTGGACCAGGGGTTCAATTGGGAGTTTGCGGGGCCAGCCCACAACCACCTGCGGCTCCTTTCCCTGGTCGATCCCACCCCCAATAGCTCCCTGCACCCTGACTGGGGGTGGGGCCAGCTTACCAACTGCCCACGGCCCCTCCTCCCAGCTGTGCACGAATTCATGCACCAGGCCTCTAAGCAAAACTGTATTTTTAAAAAAAGATCTGAGAAATATGAAAAACTGTATTTTAAAAAAAGATCTGAGAAACATGAACGGAAGCCATGAGGCACTGGGTATATATGCATCTGCCCCAGCCCCACCACGTTTCTGACCACCTGCCCCGCCACCTCTTCCCCCATCTCCCCCCACCCCCCCCAGCTCTGCCAGGGCCTGAGCAAGCAGATCCACTCCACACCTGGGGACCACAGCTTCTCCCTCCTTTCTCCCGGGGGTAACGGGAGAGCCAGTCGTTTCGCTCCGTTGATTATCAGCCACAAACGGTTTCCATTCTGTGCGAGTCCCCGGAGGAAGCCACCCCGGAACCCCAGAGGATGGGAACTCTGTTTTCTTCAGAGAAAAATTGGTAGTCCGCAGCCACTGTGCCAGGCCGGCCCGGGTGGCTCAGCGGTGGCGCGTCGACCTAGGAACCAGGAAGTGAGGGTTCGATTCCCGGTCAGGGCACCGGCCGGGGTTGCGGGCTCCATCCCCAGTGGGGGTCATGCAGGAGGCAGCCGATCAATAATCCTCTCTCTCACCATGGATGTTTCTGTCTCTCTCTCCCTCTCCCTTCCTCTCTGAAATCAATAAAAAAAAAAATACCTTAAAATATAAAAACAAACACCTCCGCCCTACAAAGTCTTCCCTTGCGACTGCCCTCCTTCCCTCCACCTCAGGCTGTCACCACACATGGGACGTCTTTCAACTCCACACGGATTAGGTGGCGGGTGGGGTACGGAGCCCCCTTGGCACCTGCCCATGGGCAGGCTCGGCCCTGCTGAGGCCCGGAGCAGCGCGTGGCAGTCTCGTGCTAAACCGCAGCCCGGGCGCACTTGACTGATGATAGCATCTCCTGCCTGCCGGGAGGGACCGGGCTGCAGGGACAGGGGAGGGCCCAGCCCTGGGCAGGGAGCAGGCGGGGTGCACAATTTAATTTTTACATTATTGATTTTTTTACAGACAAGAAGGGAGAGGGATAGAGAGTTAGAAACATCGATGAGAGAGAATCATCGACCAGCTGCCTCCTGCACACCCCCCACCCCCGGAGATGTGCCTGCAACCAGGGTACATGCCCTTGACCAGAATCGAACCCGGGACCCTTCAGCTTGCATGCCGACGCTCTATCCACTGAGCCACACCGGCCAGGCCTGCAGCCAGGATCTGAATCCCGCCTGTGAGTGCACGCCGCGGCCTCTCTTCGCACCCAGTCTTTCCCAGCTAAAAATATTACGCACATCCCCGCTCCGAGAAAATGTGCTAACTCCGAAGGAAGAGCCTTGCTCGTCTCTAAAATTCACGGAAACAATTTGGACGGCGGGAAGCCTGTGCCGTTTCATACTCCAAGTCATTAAATTCCGGGCAGCGGCGGGGTTCTGTGAAGTCCGGAGAGTCTCAACTCCCACTTTTACACGCGGTCCCCCCACTGCCCTCACAAGTCTTCCTCCTGCCGCTTCAAAGGCTGCTGCTACTACTGTTGCCCCTGCACACCTCGTCCCCTACCCGCCCGCCCGCCCCTGGCCCATTCCGGGGCCAGGACTCACCCTTACGGCTGGTGGACAGAGAACACAACCCCAGATCACCAATGCATTCCCCACACGTTCCCCCTGCCCGCTCTTTGTTTCTTCCCACTGCCGGCCCATCAGTTCTTTTTTCTTAGAGATAGTGGAAAGGAAGGGAGGAGGAGAGCCAGAGAGAGAGAGAGAGAGAGAAACATCCATGTGAGAGAGGCCCACACACTGGCTGCCTCCTGCACATGCCCCGTGCCAGGGCCGGGAATGGAGCTTGCAACCGAGGTACGTGTGCCCTTGACTGGAATCGAACCTGGGACCCTTCCGTCTGCAGGCTGATGCTCTATCCACTGAGCCACACCAGCCAGGGCTCTCGGATGATGATGATTTTTTTAAACTAAGGATCGCTCTTCGGAGATCAACCCCGTCCACCAGCAGAAGCCCACCCCCCACCAGGGGTCCGGCCTCTGCAAACGCCACGCTCACACAGCGACCCTTCCTAGTCACAGGCGCGCCAAGGAAAGAGAAGAACCAGGCCGGCTTTACGTGTTTGGAAGGCAGACCGCCTGCAGGTGCCACCAGCACAGCAGGCCGGGCCACGCAGACCCGCAGGTTTGACATCATCCCCGCACACCGTGCCCACGGTTTTCACTCTGGAAGCTGCTACAGCGCTTCTCCTGGGCTCCCTGGCCCTTCACCGCCCAGGAGTCATGGGGATTCCGGGTGCACACAGCCGTCCTCTCATGGGGGGGGTGGGGGGCTAAAGGTACACTATTGTCGAAGAACCAAGCCAGGGAAAGAAAGACAGAAAAGGAAGGAAGGAGGGAGGGAGGGAAGAAGAAGGAAGAGGAAGAAAGACAGAAAAGGAAGGAGGGAGGGAGGGAAGAAGAAAGGAAGGAGGGAAGGAGGGAAGGAAGGAGGGAGGGAGGAAGGGAAGAAGAAAGGAAGGAGGGAAGGAGGAGGGAAAAAGCAAGGAAGGAGAAGGAATGAAGGAAGGAAGGAAGGAAGAAGGAAGGAGGAGGGAGGGAGGCAGGAGGGAGGAAGGAGGGAGGGAAGGGGAAAGGAGGGAGGGAGGGAGGGAGGGAAGGAGGCGGGAGGGAAGAAGAAAGGAAGGAGGAGGAGGAGGCAAAGAGGAAGGAAGGAGGGAGGAGGGAGGGAGGAAGAGGAAGAAGGAAGGAAGGAAGGAAGGAAGGAAGGAAGGAAGGAAGGAAGGAAGGAAACCCCTGACGCAGCCAACTCCATGCCGACATTTACAGGTCAGCCTTGCAGGCTCAGGTCTGTTCGGTTCAGTTCGGGTCCAGTTCTGCGGGTCCCGCTGGCTCCTGGCCCCCACCCCCTGGTTCCACCTCCATGAACTCAGAATTTCCAGGATTTGCGGCGACACCGAACGTCACGGGCACGGGGGCTGCAGCATCTTGGAAAAGATATCGCTGCCTTCGAACCGGCCAACCACCCGGCCCCGCCCGCGGCGCCGGCAACATGTGCCCAGCTCCCGCTGTGCGGGCTCCAGCGCCGGGCGGCCCGGAGCGGCCCGGCCCCGCCGCTCGCCCTCGGGGCCTGTGCAGAGCGCGGGGACCATCCCCCGTCACCGCCGCGGGGGAGGCGCAGGGGGCCGGGCCCAGCCCGGCGAGAGGAGCGCGGGGGCCGGAGGGGACGGGCAGGGCCGGGCCGGGCCGGGGCCTCGCTCAGGGCGAATGGAAACCGCAGACCCAGCGGAGGGGAGTCCGTGCTCCCGGCCCGGGGTGTCCGCGGCCCCGCCCCGGAGGAGCGCGCGGAGCCGGGGGCAGAGTCCGGGCGCGCGCCCCCTCCCCTCCCCACGCGGGGCAGGGGGAGGACCCGGGCCGGGGGAGGACCGCAGCCGGGCATCCAAGGCTGGAGAGAAACTTGGGCTCCCCTCTCCTCCCGCTCACGGCCGCCTCCTCCGCCTCCCCACCCCCTTTTGTGCCTCCGCACCCCCAAACTTCCCCGCGCAGGGGCAGGGGCCGGGGCTCCCGCGGCGGCGGGACAGGACGCAGCGGAGGGGGCGTCTCCGGAGGGGGTGGGGGCGCCTGGGGACGGGGCGGCGACCAGAGGGGCATCCGATGGGCAGCGCCGGGGGGGCCTCTTCCGCCGCCCCCTGCTGCTCCGGGGACGCGGGGAGGCCCGGCCCGAGGCCCGGACGGAGGAGCGCGGGAGGCGCGCGGGGCGCCCCCCCTCGGTGCCCGGCGGCCACGTCAGAGCGGGGCCCGGGATGCGTGGGGCGCGGAGGGCCGGGCCGCGGGGACCGGGGATCGGGGATGGGGACCGGGGCCCGGGGTGCGGGGGCCGGGCCGCGGCGGGCGCACTCACCTTCCTGCCGGCGCCCGCGGCCAGGGTGGAGCCCGCCCCGGAGGACATGTAGTAGGCGATGCCCAGCGCCCACAGCAGCGCGAAGCACAGCAGCAGCCGCGAGCGCCGCCGCATCCTCGCCCCTGGGCCGCCGGCCGCGGCGCCGCGTTCCCGGAGCAGCCTGGGCCGGCGGGCGGCGGCGGGCGGAGGCGGCGGGCGCGGGCGGAGGGAGGAAGGGGCGGGCGCAGTGGCCCCGCCCCCGGCGCGCGCTCCCGGCCCCGCTCCGGCTCCGGAGGCGCGCGGGGCGCCGGATCCGCCCGCGCCCGAGCAGGAAGCG